TATTGACTGATGTTTTTTTTTATTACTTGTACTGCTGTATCCCTATTGAGATAAATAAGTGTGTTTGTAATATATATATATATATATATATATATATATATATATATATATATATATATATATATATATATATATATATATATAATATATATATATATATATATATATATATATGTTCTTAATTATTTTTGTGACCCAAGTAAAATCACCCATAACAGGAAAATAAAATATCTGCCTACAATGTTTACTGAAGTTCTATTAAGGGATTGTCCATATATGACGTCACCCTGGTCAGGGGGGAAGTGGGGGGTCGTAATTTTGTCACGAGGGGGGGGGGGGGGGGGGGGGGGGGTTACAAGGGTATTGTCTGGTACAGATAGTTTGTCGTCGCACTTTGCATTTTATAAAACTAATGTTTGAAAACGAATTTTAGCCGTTATTTGGTGTTTTAGGAAACTGTTTTAATAAATTGCAATAGAAATTGATAAAGACCGAGATCAGTCAGTATTTTAGAAAAAAATATCCATGTTTTAAAAAATTCAACATCAATTTTGATTTCGAAGAAAGGGGGTTTGTATGCTGAGATGTGACGTCATTTTTAGGGGCGTCTGGCTTTTTGTGACGATGTGTAATGGCATACTTCAAATACAGTTGGACTTTTTTTTTTCTACCTGTACGACTGTAACTAATATCAAAAGGCCAATACCATTGGACTGTTGGTGTTAAATTATAAATTTCTTTTTCTGCAGCGTACAAAAAAGTTCTAGCCTTTTGTTGTTGAACAGCCGCTGAATTACTTAACACTAACTTGACAGGCATAAGCTACACACAGACACAAAAATAAACTACCCAGCTCCTTGTATTACAACGGTGTAAGATATTTTTTTAGTGAACGTACCTTAGTATGGCTGACGTCACTGAAGTAATGACGGCTATAAGCTCATGTGTCTAATGAAGGGGTTCTCAAAATGTGTTTTTTTTTTTACCTTATTATAGAGCAAATAGGAATTGTGTTGAATAGAGGGGTTCTCAAAATATGAGAGTGTATCTTATTAAGTTATGGAGCGTGGAGGAATATTGTTAATAGGGAGGTTCTCAAAATATATGGATGTGTGCATCTTATTGTTGCATGGAAGAACACCGTGGCTCTCAAAATATTGGGTTTGTCTTATTTTTAAGGAGAATGTAGGAACAGTGTTGAATAGTGGGTTTCTCATTATATGGGATATTTTTACCTTATTATGGAGTATGGAGGAACAGTTTTAATAGAAAGGTTCTCAAAATATATTGGTGTGTGCATCGTATTATGGAGGTTGGAGAAGCAGTGTAGGATAAAGCATGCAGGGAACGGCGTGGTAGGGTTATAGAGCTTACGCCTGCTAGCTCAAAAGTCTCGAGTTCGAATCCCGAGCTCGAGTCTGTAGGACGTCCATGAGTCCACCCAGTCTTGATGTGTACCTGACTCACGTAAGGGAAACAAAGTCCGCTGGGCATTGTGCTGACCAAATTATCCCCTGTATTCCGAGCCCATTGAAACAGATGAACTCTACTTCATCCGCCTCATGTGTCTTGCGCACGAACAGGAAAAGAAGAGGATGATGATTGTAAAATATTGGATATTATCAATACAGTTGTGCTTATAGGAACTATGAAAATAATCCCCTCGAGGACCACTGGACTAATGAATTTATAATGGTGGAAATGGGGGACGGCGGGGGTTTGTACATTCTCGTGAGATTTCCAGGTGTAATCGCTGATATGTTCACACGTAACATAGAGGTGTGATGTAAGAGAATACACCTCCCCCGCCCCCCCCCCCCCAATCTATCATCCCTACCGGTATGCACAACACACAGGCATTACGCACAGGTTACGAAAATGTAATGTGTAAAACAGAATCCATTTTGTTTCTCCTTTTGTGAAGAGTTGCTGAAGCGTTGGGGTAGAAGAAGAGTGTACCTGTGATGTTGCTTCCTTTCTGTGGCGTGGTCCTCACCCTGTTGCGTGATGGCTCATAGGCATGTCCGTATATACCTACATATATAAAGAGAGTGATATATATATATATATATATATATATATATATATATATATATATATATATATATATATATATATATATACACACATAGATATCCCTTCCCTGTTCTAACTCTACAAAAATGTTCACAACAAGGCTTTATAGTTTTGTTTTCCTTAACATTTTTAAGGACTGTGAAATTACAGTGAAATTACAGTGTTTGTAATAATGGTGACAGATATTACCACGAAATCATTTCGACATAATGCCTTGGTGGATTTACAACACAAAGGTGTATAAATCTATTAAAAAATTGAGTTAGAACAGCATGGTTCTAGGGCATATTATATATTCTTTTATGTTCTTTGAATATTCTTCCTACCCTTACTATAGGGCTGGTAAGTAGGTCACCAACCAGTTCTACGGCTCAATAAAACTTGCAAGAGCCTTAGAACTGGTTGGTGACCTACTTACCAGCCCTATACTATTATGTCCGTCCGACGACACCACCCCTCCCCTCCCCAACGCTTGAGACGTCAAAGATCGGAACACGCCTATGTTGAATAGAGTCTAACGAGCCTGTCGCAATAGGTTGCCTGACCAGCCGTAATGTTCAGCTTATAGATTTTTGGTGTCTAACTTTCGACTACTGTTTAGTCCGTGAGGTCAACTATTGATGCCGAGTGTTGGCTTGTGAATGTCCATGTTAATGTCTAACCTTTGACCTTTAATGCTTTAGCGTTTGATACCTCGAGTTTAGAGTTCTGCTAGCTCAGTTGGTGTTAATGACATCGAGATGCTAACATTTATTTTATCACATCTCGATTCCAGTCCACATTTTATGACTAGGCTGATACTTACAGCTGATGAATTTTCCCACATCATGACGTGAGTCACGTGACATTTGTATACATCTAAAAGGTCAAGGTTTCTCAGGCCATTATCTAAAAACAAAACAAAAACAAAAAAACAAACATTTTACTCTTGTTTATTATTCTAAACGCATGTCCCACTAAAAAAAAGCGGGGTCAAATTTTCATTTTTTTTCGCCTGAATTTTTAAAAGTCACGCATGTTTTTTTTTTTAAAACTAATGTTTTCCATTTTCCGAACAAATTCAGACCAAACTCTAAAAACGCCTGAAAAAAAAAAAAAATTGACGTCAGTTTAATCGACCGTGATTCCATTGTCTGTCGATGGTATCGTTTCAGTAATGCTATTTTTAAGTTGATGCGGGTATCGATATTCGATAGTACCGGTTACGATGTGGCTCAGTAGTCGCTGTGGTATCGAGTAACGTGGTGTGTAATGGTATCCTTAACTCTTGGCGATATGTGACATCACGCACGTAACGGCGTGACACTACGATGTTGAGCTGATGGCGGGGGGGGGGGGGGGGGGGGGGGGGGGTAACAAAATGTGACATTATGTTCTATGCCATACAACTTTAAATTAATAAAAATAGGGTATTATTTCTTAGAGTTATGGTTCCTTTATGTTAAGAATGGGGGTGGGGGGGGGGGGGGGAAGTTGCTGCAACAGTTTATAAGGTTAAAATTTTCTGGACAGCACTAGCCACTCCCCCCCTTCCCCCCAACTTTGCAGTTTATTAGACCTCCGTTAAATTAATGTTCTGGTGATTTAACTTTTATTCTCACATTCAAGATACAAGTCTGGTTAAAAATAAAACAGTCGAAAGGGAAATGAGTTCATTTTTTTAAATAAAACTGAGACTTGGCTTTTGTGTTGGTTGGGGCCTTAGGCGTTTGCCTATCAAGCCCACAGGTAATGTCGGCACTGGAGTAAAATTAACTTGCCCTTAAAAAAAACACTGTTTTGTGTAAAATGCATTACCTTATTTGTTTCTCAATCCCTTTCCAGTTTATTGTTCTGCACGTTTGTGGAGGTGGTGTGTATGTATGTTGTGTGGGGGTGGGGGGGGGGGGGAGTCGATATTGTATTCAAACAGCTGCCAGTTAGTTACAGACATCCCATTACAATTACGTAACCCCAAACAGCTATTCTATATTTAGTTTCATGTGTAAATGTAGGGTATCAAACAATCAATACCTGTATCTATTATTAGTTTTTTTTTCCCTTCTCCCTTGTCAGCTTGTTCCATACTAAGAGCTTCAGGCTTCAATGTGTTGTCGATTTATTCACTTGTATGTGGCATTGTATGTCAGTAATTTTTTTTTGTAGGTTTGTAATGTAAGATTATAGCTGTTGGTATATCTTATGTTGGTATGCAATATAAGATTGTTAGTGAATAATATACTAGCCTGTAATGTAAGATTAGTCTAATCTTGTGTTGGTCTGTAATGTGAGATTGCTAGTATTTATTAGTTTTATTTGATGCAAGTCAGTCGTGTAATACAAAAGTTTGAAGAAGTATAAATTTGAGAAGAGCATACATTTTTTTAAACATGTTCAAAGTTTTTCTTACAATGACCCCCCCCCCCCCCCCCACCCCTCCTTCACACACACACATACTATTCCTGCTAAAACACAGAATCATAATTAATAATTATGATGAAATTGATTGGGGAAAGAAGGTTGAAGGTTTCTAATGGGCATAAAAATTACTACTTTTAACACAAAGATTGCTTCATTGGCTTTGATATTTTCAGGATATGTTTGCTGGGTTGTTGTTTTTTTTTTAATTATAGACCCAGATTTACATTTTAGGTGTAGGCTTCAAAACAATGGTACACTTACTCCATTTATTCACTGTGCATGGGCCTTAAAACCTGTTTTTTTTTTTTTTTTACCTGATCCACCGTTCATTGTGTTGAGGGTTTAGTAGTTCCAGGGCTCATTATGTTGAGGATTTAGTAGATACAGGGTTCAAGTCCATGGTTGTACATTTATAATACTCTACTAATTATGTTCAAACAGACCCTGATTTCGATTACTTTGATATACCCAGTGCTTATATATTCAGGGTTCATGCCTGTAACTATCCCATGATTCCCCCACAGGGTCCAAGTTTTGATATACAGTTCTTATATATTCAGGGTTCATGCCTGCAACTGTCCCATCATTCCCCCACAGGGTCCAGTCCAGTCCAAGTTTGATATACCCAGTGCTTATATATTCAGGGTTCATGCCTGTAACTGTCCCATCATTCTCCCACAGGGTCCAGTCCAGTCCAAGTTTGAACGCATCCAGTCAGGAAGTCTCCCTCCAAAGGTCACCCATGTGTCTTGTGAGGCCTCCCCCCAGGACAGATTTGTGAGTATTTTCCAGATTTCATAAGTCAACTTTTTTTTTGGGTGGGTGGTGAAAACCAAATTAGCCAAAATGCTTACTCAACTCTTTGAGTCATAACTATATACTAAATTAGGTTTAGAAATAAGCATTTCATCACCCTCCCCCCATGTCCTTTAAAATTAGTGAATAACTAAGCTACATTTTTTTTAATAACTAGGGTTAAATTTGTGTTAGTTAATAGTATAAAATAATACCACTTGGTTTAGAGGTAAAAGAATTAAGACTTAGCGATTCATTGGGAAGATGAAGTAGAGTTCATATGTTTCTTGTCCTTGGCATATGAAGGGAAGTGGTCAGCACTTTGCCCAGCTGCCTTTACTTTCCCAAACGTGAGTTAGGTACTCATCAGGGATGTGCCACTGACTTGGACCTGGATTCAAACTTGAGACTGTCGGGTTAGCAGCCTAGCGTTCTATCCCTTAGGCCATGCCATCCCTATTGGTTTAGAGTTAGAGCACATAATATTTTACCAGAAAGTCTGAAGTCTGGAAGAATAAAAATAGCTAGGCATTGTGTTGAACACACTTGACACTTAGGCTAATTTCACAGATGAACTCTTTTTCATTAGCCCTAAGAACTTTTCAGGCCTATAAGTGGAACTCTAAAGAGATGGCAGAAATAAAAATCTGATTAATTTAGTTTTATGATGGAGAATATGGGAAAACTAAAAATTGAATTCATTGATTTTTGCAGGAAAATAGAATTTTAAGGAAAATTTAGGCAGAAATGTGCCTGAGTGCTACCTTTTCAGTTTTCAAAACAAAGTCTTAGTTTGTAGCACACAGAAGGGGAGGGAATTAGGTAAATTAGTGACTGATGAAAGGCTGCCTAATTTAGTCAAGTGCCACTGAAGGGCAAGGTCATGTGGCCTGCCTTAAACTCATCTTTTGGTTCAGTTTCTCCTTTTTTTCTCATCTGTTTGGTGGAGAAAAAAGAAAATAGGGGTGGGGGGTCACTTTTCCACTTGCAAAGTTTAGCCTATCTCTTCCAGGTTTTATTTCTGCTAGAAGTTATATTGTTGGTTTGCTGTGTTATTTTTAACATAGTGTGTTCGCTATTTAGATCATCCAAAATATTTCATGTGATCATCTATGCTGTATTTAACATTGTGGTATATAAATGTGTTTGATCTTGTTTAAGTAGCATATCCATATTTGTTCCGTAGATCATCCATGTTGTTTTATAATATCCATATTTCTTCTGTAGATCATCCATGTTGTTTAACATTGTAGCATATCCATATTTCTTCTGTAGATCATCCATGTTGTTAAAGTAGAATATCCATATTTGTTCCATAGATTATCCATGCTGTTCAATGCTTTAGCATATCCATATTTCTTCTGTAGATCATCCATTGTAGCATATCCATATTTCTTGTGTAGATCATCCATTGTAGCATATCCATATTTCTTCTGTAGATCATACATGTTGTTTAACATTGTAGCATATCCATATTTGTTCCATAGATTATCCATGCCAGACTGGAGACCAGGGACCTGTCATTCCTGGTCTTTGCCAGCCAACAGACACATGAAGGGGTCAAGCTGACCAACTGTACCGCTAGCGTCCTGCGTCTGAAGGGAACGGTAAGCTTTAAATAAATTCTAGCTGCTGGCGTTTGTTGGTGTTGTGAGTCATATATATGTATGCATGTATGTAGGTGTGTCTACATGCAGGATTAGACTGGGCCATAGGAGACAGTGGGTAAAATCTATTGTGGGCTGTCTGCACATCGGGGCGGTTGGCAGTTAGGCACTATGCTGTAATAGGCCTAGGTCAGGGGTCGGCAACCTTTTGAGATGGAAGAGCCAAAATTTACAATTTTCAATATTTCCCATTTTCAAAGAGCCACAAACATTTTTCTTATTTTATTAGGAATAGGTAAATAAATTTGATTTATTATTTAAAATAAATAACTTTAAATATGAAATAATATTTATTCATATGAAAACATACACTTGTTTCGCCAGAATAATGAAATTAGTAAACAAAAAGTGAAAATATAGGACTACTATCCCAATCCACTATAGAAGCAGTAAACTTTTTTTTTTCCTTTCTTCACTGACTCCACCGGCTTAGAAGGTGTCTCCCATTAGCCAGGAAGGCCTCAACACGGCAACCTCCAGCCAACTGGCTTGGATATTTGTTTGATTACCGCGTCTCTGTCGCTTCTGTCATTTGGTTCTCATCAGGCTTATCTTCCACCCCACTGAACGCAGGGTAAACTCGTACCCCACCGTCAAGTACCCGGCTCAACAGTAGGAAGCTAATTAATAAAAAAGCTACGTCACTTACGTCAAATTAATGATTACTGACGGATAGGGAAATGCATTCTGAATAAAATAACATTCCACATTGAACGATATTCGAAAATGTCGGCACTTGGGCAGTGGCAAGCATGGAATAGTCGCCACGGGGCTGGCCACAACACAGATGTGGGGCTGGGCCTGGTGCCCAAGCGGCTGTCCGTATACTTTCTAGTGCACATATTCGCACTGTTCTCTAATGAGTTTTTTCTTCTGTTTAAACTTATGTTTCTTTAAAGTATAATTTTTACTTTCTCGTATATACTAAGTATAGAGAAAGTCTTGTAATCGTGCAAAAAAAAAAAATCGAGATTTTTACAAATCTCGACGTTTTACACCTCACTGATACAGAAAAACATAATTTTGCAATCTTGTCCGTATGTCTGTGTGTGTGTCTGTCAGTGTGTAAACATGATAACTTGAGTACCGTTACAGCTAGGTTGATGAAATTTCATATATAAGTATTTTATCAAAATCGTAGATCCGTATCAGCTTTTGAGCGATTTCCAATAACCGGAATTGTGACTTTTTCTACTTTGAATTTTTCAAAAGCCTATAACTTGAGTTCTATTTCAGATAGATAAATGAAATTGCACAAGTAAGTAAAAGATCTAATTCTCTACCTTCTATCAAATTTTAAGTAATTTCCATTGACCGGAAGTACTAATTTACGCTATTTCCGATTTCTCAAAAAACGCATGTAAATTTATAAAGTACTAATAATATTGCGCACTATTATGCACATTTTGTTTTGGCGTTCGCTTGGTGCGCAATTGTTTTTTCTGTGAGATTCTATTCTATTTTTAAAAGTTTAAGTAATTAAAAATCATGTCTATATTCCAAGTTATATAAGAATATTCGAGAAAGTTTAGGGGAGATCACTCCCGGTTTATTTGTTATGAGTTTTGAAACTAAAATAATAAAACTATTAATATTTGTGCAAGGAGCAGGAGAGCCGCATCTTGACATCAAAAGAGCCGCATGCGGCCTGCGAGCCGCAGGTTGCCAACCCCTGGCCTAGGTCTATTAGTGCTTTAATTTTTTAAAAAAGTGTTTGTTAAGATAAACTAGCCCCAGCTCTAGGTATATTTTTTCCATGTAACCATTTCGCAAATTTCATGGCCATTATTTCCTTTTTTTCATGCCAATTAACATAAAACTCATGCACAATGAAAATTTAAGTCAGACAGGCCACTTTTTTCCTGGCCACTTGGACACAGCTATTTCACCCTTGTCTGTGTGTATACATCCATACATACATACAAAACTACATACATGCTTACACATGTACTTGCTCAAGAATATGTCTGAATAAAATAGATAAACTTAACTTCTATAATTCACATACACATTCACACATGCTAGTTAAACACTTATTGAGCTATCCATTACGAGCCTGTAACAAATACAATCTGTTAATGGGGAGAGAACCTGATAAATCTTCCCCTTATCTGCACAACAAATGTCTCAATAGACAACATCAACACTTCCATTATGAGTTTGTAACAAATACAATCTGTAAAATGGGGAGACTGCCTTCCCCTTATCTGCACAACAAATGTCTCAATAGACAACATAAAAACACTATTGGCTTTTGTTTCCAGCTGAGGATCCAATCCTACCGGGAAGGCGCTGACGTCAAGATGAGCTTCAACTTTGAGGGAAAGCCAGAAATTAAAGTTGAGGTCAAACCTCTCAACCCGTATCAGGTAGGTGACAACTTTGTTACTGGTCAATACCAAGCCTATACATTCTTAAACATTGTTGTATTCATGGTACCAAGTTGGTCAAACACTTTGTTACTGGTCAATACCAAGCCTATACATTCTTAAACATTGTTGTATTCATGGTACCAAGTTGGTCAAACACTTTGTTACTGGTCAATACCAAAACTATACATTCTTAAACATTGTTATATTTATAGTACCCATAACCAAGCCTATACATTTTTAAACATTGCTGTATTCATGGTTTATAAATATCATGGTGTTTTATATGTGGTTAGCACACATCACATTTTTGTCTGTCCATTATATATGTGGTTAACACACATCACATTTCTGATGGTCGATAATCATACCATATGTGTTAGGTTCATACTCACCCCATACTTGATGTCTGTCATAGTAAATGTCTGTAATTGTGGTCTATATTTATAAGATTGCTGGTAGTCCATAACCCCCCCTCCCACTAATTAATTTTTCTTTGGTCTACTGACATTACAGTTGGCCATAATCATTAATTTGTGGTCCATGTTTATATGATGTCTGGTATAATTACCATATAAAGTGATCAAAAATATTTCATTTCTTGTGGTCTGTTATTCATTTTTGGTCCACTGACACTCTAAACCTTTTGGTCCATAAAACTATCCTGTCCGGGTTGGCGTGGGCGAGTCGGTAAAGCTCATGGTTGCTAAACCAAAAGTCTCGAGTTCGAGCTCTCAAACAGATGAGGCTCGACAGCTGGGGACAGCAACTCCTCTAGGATAGACAACTCTAAAATCAAACAACTGCTGCCTTGTAGTTTGTGCTTGCTTGGACAAAGGCTATGGAAGCAAATCCAAAAAGAAAAGCAGGCTGATGTCAATGGCCTATATGTCGCATGACAATTTGACACTTATACTTAATTGTGTTGGAGGGGATCCCTTCCAACGCTAAAATTAAGAACACAGAAGAAGAAGAAAGAAGCAACCTGTCTTACCTGTGAAACCACCAAATCCGAGATGTTTGTCCAAAACTAATTCATCTAATGACCCCTACAGACTAATTCATGTAATCTGACCCCTACAGACTAATTCATCTAATCCGACCCCTGCAGACTAATCCATCTAATCTGACCCCTGCAGACTAATCCATCTAATCTGACCCCTGTAGACTAATCCATCTAATCTGACCCCTGCAGACTAATCCATCTAATCTGACCCCCGCAGACTAATCCATCTAATCTGACCCCCGCAGACTAATCCATCTAATCTGACCCCCGCAGACTAATCCATCTAATCTGACCCCCGCAGACTAATCCATCTAATCTGACCCCCGCAGACTAATCCATCTAATCTGACCTCTGCAGACTAATCCATCTAATCTGACCCCTACAGACTAATCCATCTAATCTGACCCCTGCACACTAATCCATCTAATCTGACCCCTACAGACTAATCCATCTAATCTGACCCCTGCAGACTAATCCATCTAATCTGACCCCTACAGACTAATCCATCTAATCTGACCCCTGCAGATTAATCCATCTAATCTGACCCCTGCAGACTAATTCATCTAATCTGACCCCTACAGACTAATCCATCTAATGACCCCTAAAGACTAATTCATCTAATCTGACCCCTGCAGACTAATCCATTTAATCTGACCCCTGCAGACCAATTCATTTAATCTGACCCCACAGACTAATCCATCTAATCTGACCCCTGCAGGAAGCGAATGAGCTGGTTGATCTGGGTGTGGTTGAAGCCAATGTACGCAACTCTATCATCCTGGCCAAGACGACCTTCACCGTGACCCACCTTCTCATGCCGGGTGACCTTCAGACTGTCAACCATGACCAGGGCGGTCAAGGTCCAGACAAAGGTGGCCAGGACCAGGGTAAAGGTGAGTCAAGGTTGGGTCTTAAAGCTTGGGGTGGCTGACCTTTGACCCCCTGGCCTATGCTAAAGGTTTCAGTTGAACTACATAAAGCATACAACTTATGTTCATGTTAGAGTTCTAATCAAGTCAAGATAGAAAGAAGGAAGTCTCTTAATAAACTCTAAGCAGTTTTTGTTATGAAAAAAAAATAGTTTGCTAAGTCCAGTTATTTGCAATATTAAAATGGGGGGGGGGGGGGTACTTTGTGGGGTGATATACTATGTAATGAGTAAGCATTTTAAAAAAACTAAAAGTTTTGTTTGTGGTCATTATAAATTAATTAAAAAAATAATATTTTAATGGACTTATATAGTTTAAAGAAGTTTACATCAGACTTAATTAAATTAAAGTGATATATAATTGATAGGAATCCACCATAAACTTATTGACATGGAGTAACTGTTTTTTTATTGAATGTAAACATGTAAATATTGATAGGGAGTATCCATTAGTTAGGTAAACAGGAAGCGGCCATTAATTTTTTGACAGGGAGTAATCATTTATTTTATCAACGTTACTCAAGTCAGCCATTTTATTATTTTATTTTGGCAGGAAGCAACCACTCCAGCTACAACCTGCTCCAGCGTGACATCCAGAGCCTCCAGAAACAGAAACCAGCCACCCAGAACTCCGCCCCTTCCCAGCCCTCCCACCAACAACAGACACTGCAACAACAGCAGCTGCCCGAGCTCTCCCAGGAGATTGTCGTGCCCACGGTCATCCCGCCCACCAACAAAGCCCCACCCATCCACAGCATATCTGTTCAAAATGAGCCTGTCCAGGTTAGTAGCTGTGAAGACAGTTGATACAAGTTTGATTGGTCTTTTTTTTTGTTTCTTTAAACCTGCTTGGAATTTTAATACTCTTTGTCAATAAGAGTGGTTTCCCTTTAACACCATAATAACAGAACAAAAAGCCCTTGCTATTTGTATGGGACACTATGGGACAAATAAGTAGACTTAATTTCTAATTTTTTACATCTAATTAACAATGCCATTCAAAACTAATGTAAAAGTGAACACAATGTCTAAATATGAGTTCTTGTAACTTGGAAGACACATGTTTTGAAAGTAAAAGAATAAATAAATAGTTGAATAAAAATGTTTTTTATTAAAACTAGTTTCAATTTTTAAAATAACCAAAAATAAAGTATTACTCAAGGTATCCAGTTTCAGGTTTACAGTAAAATATTTAACCTTTCTTGTCCCTTAACACTTGGTCAATGACAACCTATTTTTGAGAATAAAAAAAAAATTGAATAAAGTTATTAATTTTTAAACTAGATACAATATTTAAGGCAGCAAGAAGTAAAGTATTACCCTATGCATTCAGCTTCACTTCCACAGTCAAATATCTCACCTTTCTTGTCCCATTAAAACTGGTAAAGCCATCTAGCCTTTGACCTTTGCGTCTCTAACATTGTTTGACCATTGTGCCCAGAGTATCCCCATCCACCCGATCCACCGCCAGCTCCAGCAAGACAAGCTGCAGCAAGAGGTCAAGCAGGTCCCTCGCAGAGACCAGCAGAGAGTCCGCCCTCAGTCTCGCCCTGAGGGAGTCTTTGAGCCTGTGGAAGCCATGAATCTCTCCAGCTCTGTAAGGAAATGTGTAATTGTAGTTCAGATGATTAGATCCAGCTCTGTAAGGAAATGTGTAATTGTAGTTCAGATGGTTAGATCAAGCTCTGTAAGGAAATGTGTAATTGTAGTTCAGATGGTTAGATCCAGCTCTGTAAGGAAATGTGTAATTGTAGTTCAGATGATTAGATCAAGCTCTGTAAGGAAATGTGTAATTGTAGTTCATATGATTAGATCAAGCTATGTAAGGAAATATGTAATTGTAGTTCAGATGGTTAGATCCAGCTCTGTAAGGAAATGTGTAATTGTAGTTCAAATGGTTAGATCCAGCTCTGTAAGGAAATGTGTAATTATAGTTCATATGATTAGATCAAGCTCTGTAAGGAAATGTGTAATTGTAGTTCAGACGATTACATACACAATAGATTCTAATTTAAAAATACCTAGCTATGTAAGGAAATATGTAATTGTAGTTCAGATGATTACATACACAATAGATTCTAATCTTAAAATACCCATCTCTGTAAGGAAATATTTAGTTTGTTTTAGAGAATGTAATAGTACGTCAGCTGAGGTTCACACTAGATCATAAAAAATATCTAGCTCTGTAAGGAAATGTAGTTTGTTCTTGAGAATGGAATATAGTTCAGCTTATTAGATGCACACTAGTAGATTCTAATAAGAAATATTCAGTTCTGTAAGGAAATATACAATTTGTTCTAGAAAATGTCAATTGTAGGCGGATAAAGAAATCAAACAAAAATCACAGCTCTGTAAGATAATTTGTTTGTCCCAGAGATTAGACTAGATTCACACAAGACAATACAAATACCTTAACCCCCCCCCCCCCCCCCCCATCTCTACTTTCAGAATGTGTTTGACAGCCATAGTACTAAAAATGACAACTAAAATTTTCTCTAGCATGGTTTATTTCCATTTGTCTGTTTACCAAGTTTTTATTAACATATTTTTCTTCAATTGTTTTTTAAATAGTTATTTCTGTTAATCTTGATTGATTTAAAATTTTCTTTGAGGTTTTTTTTTAGTAATTATCATTATTTTTGTTATTTTAATTATCAGTTATTTTCTGAGTTCATTTATATTTTTTTTCTGCGTTATTATTTTATGTTATTTTCTAAATTATTTTCCGTTATTTTTTCTAGTTATTCTCAGCCCCACCCAAACCTCACCGTATGGTCGGTGACAAAAGACTCCTGGTTAAAGTGATCAAGGCTAACGGACTCACCCTCAAGCAAATTGGTGGGTAAAATTTGCTTCTCTTACTTAAGCAGATCTTTAGCATAAGTCTATCACCATATTTTCCCTTTTGTGCCCAAGACACATGGGGCCGCAACAGAAAGCTCATCCTCTTTTGTTGGTCTCCGACAATTTCCCTGGCAGTCCCCCAAAACAGTCCTGCCTCTGCCAGCTGTTTCCCCTTGGCCTTCCCTGCTTTCTTTATCCTTGAGGTGTCCCATAGGTTTATACTAACCAATTAACTATTCTAGTTTATGGGCACTAAAGGATTGTGTGAAAATAGGAAATAGGAAAAACTTTTAACTAAAACATTTTCATCACAAAAAACTCACATTTTTACCCTCATTCCCTCTTCCATAAAAGAAAGAAATATAGTTCTTAAAAAGGTTTGAAAATACAAAATGTATGCTGTGTCTCTCTCTACATACACACACTGTGTCTCCCCCTACATACATGTATGCTGTCTCTACATACACATGTTGTTTTTCCCCCTACGTATGTATATGATGTGTCTCCCTCTTTATACACATATATTGTTTCCCCTTACACACATGTGCTGTTTCTTCCTCGACATACACATATGTTATGTCTCCCCCTACATACGCATTGTTGTTTCTCCCTCTACATAGACGTGTCTCTCCCTACATACATGTATGTTGTATCTCCCCCTACATACATGTATGTTGTGTCTTCCATATCACAGGTGCAGCAAATCTGGTCTGTATGGTGTCAACTGATGAGCCTCTTCAAGGCTATGCTACAAGCATTGTCAAAAACACCCAGAATCCTTTCTGGGATGAGCATTTCCTCTTGTAAGTCCAATTGAACTATACATCTTTAGGCAGTATTATTATTTTGTAAAAATATAATGTGTTAATAATTAAAGCACTAAAGTCTCAGTCTCCAATTAAACTATACATCTTTAAGCAGCGCTGTTTTGGAAAATTCTCTTGTTATATAATCAATGTGCTAATAATTTAAACACTAATGTCTCAGTCTCCAATTAAACTATACATATTTAGGCAACGCTGTTTTGTAAAATTTTCTTGTTATATAATCAATGTGCTAATAATTAAAACACTAAAGTCTCAAAGACTGCTAGAAATTTTGAAAAAGGTTTGTAATGTAACCCTGTAAAGGAAATGATAGTGGATTAATTGTATCTAAATCAGTGAATCTCAAATGGCTATATATGGCCCCATTCTCCACTTTTGGCCATGTATTATGCGTTTAATACTCTGACCCTTTTCCGTCAAGATCTATAGTGGTTTCTCCCTGATGAAACTATCCCCGGTCCTTGTACCAAAACATTTGAGATGCTCTGGTGCAGATATCTTTCAGTGAGCATCTGTTTTAAATTTCTCGTCTGTTAAAGTTGTTTTATCATCTGTCTAGTGACATCACACAGGAGTCACAGGAAGTCAGGGTTGAGATGTACGACAAGGACAAAGCTGAAGGAGGTCAGTGGCCTTGACATTGCATACTTAAAATTTGTGCTTTTCTTTATTGTTTAAATTTAAAATTAAATTATTTTTTTTACTAAAACTTAAAAAATTGTTTTATTTCTTTGAATATAGAGTTAAAGTTTTATATAAACCCCTTTAATTTCTGTGATAGATGAGTTTCTTGGCGAGGCCATTGTTTATGTTGAAGACCTGCGTAAGACCCCAAGTAGTCGCCAGATCCTTAGGCTCCACCCACAGCCTGGAAACTTTGAGTACAATGCTGGAACTGTCACAGCAGAGGTAAGGCCCTGTGTTAGTTACATGACAACAGCATAGTAATATTTGATTGTGTTATGGAGGTCTATTCAACAATCAAACTTAGTCTATCCTTGTTCAATGGGACCATTTTTTTTATTTTTCAAATTGGACAGCTTAAAAAATTTGACTTTTAGTTATTAGCAGTGACGTATATTTCAAATCAACGGGTCCTTGGTCCTGTTTGTTGAAATATCATTAGAGTCAGTTGACATCCTCATTGGGATCAAAATTACCATGTCGGCCATCTTGTTTCTCTACAGTTTCTCTTCATGGACCCCGTGGAAGCAGATCTCTTGCTGGGCTCCATGACAACCACTTCAAACAACCAGCTCTCACCCCGCCGCCGCATTGAGATTGCCCGCTCAGTCACCCCAGGTGGCACTGTAGTTACCAAGACAACAACCACAACACAGCGACCTCAGTATGGCCGCCATGATCCTGGCCCTGATGGTACATTTGTAATGACTGAATATGAGAGGGTTAACTGTAAATGCTGGGAATGATTAAATAAAAGGGTTAACAGTAAATTCTAGGATTGATTAAACAACAGAAGGTTAACAGTAAATGCTGCTTATGATTAAATAATAGAAGTTTAACAGTAACTGCTGGGATGATTAAAGAAGAGAGGGTTAACAGTAAATGCTGAGAAAGATTGAACATAAAAGTGTTAAAAGTAAATGCTGAAATAATCAGTCAGGAGAGGGTTAACAGTAAAAGCTGCTAATTATTATTCTGTGGTATACAATCTAGAATTTAAAGTAAATGTTATAGTAATTAATTTAATGACTGCTACACTAAATAGATTTTACAGGTAATTTACTTCATTATTTGTTTAATTTTACACAATAGAAGTTCCTAATTGTTTTAAAAGATGATTGAGAACTTGATATTAACCAACTAGGCACATGAAAGCTATTTTAGCCAGGGCCTTACGCTGGACCATACCTTTGCCCTGACTCAAATCCCTGCCCTTTACCATGACCCCAACTGTCCTTATGTATTAAAGAAATCTGGATAATTAGTATATTATACCAGTCAATGTGACTATGGCTTAGGGTTACTGATAGTGGGTTTTTTTTTTGACCATAGATTTTATAGTATTGATGGTATTGTTTTGTTAACAGCTGTTTAATAAATTATGCCAGCAAAAAATATTTAGGGAACCTGTATTTATGAAAACTACATTAATAATGTTGTATTATGATCACTTCTATAATTACTTTAAGCTTTATTGATTTAAAGATAAGATAATCAGATGTTAATAGCTGTAACACACATTTTAAAAAGTCTAATTTGGTGCTTTGAGTTATAGAGTTATGTTGATGTTGCTATCTTATTTAAATTCTTTCCCTAGGTTCACCTAATTATGTTGAGAAAAACATCTATGCAGAAGATTCTCCACAATTCTCCTACAGTGACAGCCCATCTAATGTGTCTTCAGGTAATTCATCCATGCCTTTTTATGCTTGCTTCTCTCCCCCTACCACCATCCACCATACCTCCCACATTTTAAAACATTTTTTTTTTGTTTATTACACAGTCGTTATGTTGAACACAAATTTCATTGTCACATTAAATGTTTGGATGATTGAAGATACATATGTCTGATAATAGACAAAGGCATAGCAAGGGCGGGGTGAGGGGTGCGGACACCAGGTGACACCATTTAGGGGGGTGAAACCATTGCAAAAATATTGCAAAATATACAGAAAAAAAATTGTTTTTTACCAGATCCATTAGTGATTAATTAAAGTTAAATAGTCTTTTAAGTAAAAATCGACAATTATTACAAGAGGGTGGGGGTGACACCATGACAGAAACCTGCTAACTTTAAAGATAACATTGCTATATCCAACTGTATTCTTAACATCATTACTATCAAGTCTGCACTGATTAAAGTTAATACACATACATTTAAATTATAGACCTATGTAGGCCGACACACACACACACACACACACACAAATATATATATATATATATTCTTTTTTCTTGGGGGGGGGGGACAACGCACCACAAAGTGCCGCTCTGGGTGACACCCGACCAAGCGACGCCACTGATAATAGAGTCTTCCAAAAATAGGAGCGTTAGGTTGTTAGTAGTATTGTAATCTTGACTAGTTTTATGGTTAGAAATTATGGTTAGGCATATTGTAGTTGTAGGACTAGGATTGGAGTTAGGGTTGTGGTTAGCATTTACATTAGCAAGCAATGTGTCTATTTAGACAACTACCAGTAACGTAACACCCCTTTATTAAGAAGGTTCTATTATCATACACTGGTATAAAAAAAATCCACCAAATATTTAATCATGCACCGCACATGAGTAGTGTAAAAATAATATGAACATCAGCCAACTGAGGCCCCACCCACACTGTACTGTCTTCTCTGTTGCCACAGGCTCAAAGCAACATCAGATCCCTGTAAGTATAAAGGGAAGTCACTCCCGTTACCTGGCCAATGGTGTATTTGAATTTGATTGGTTCATAACTCAACTAACAAACACATTAGCTGTGTATTTCTTGCAGTGATCCACGTAACACGTGTAGATGAGTTCAAGCATTTTGGAATGTTTTGTTGTAATTTTAAAAGTCATATGGTCCCACCCCCTTTTGTGTTTATGTTGTTTTTTTTTTTTGGAATGGTTGAGGAACAGAAGTATATCATGCAGATTAATCCAGTCTTATGTTATCAGCTGACATGCACTGACTGATTTACTTTCTTTCACTTTGTTAATCAGTAAACATACGTTCTAAATCGCTGATGGAACTTACTTAATTTTTGTCCAACGTAAACAAAATAAAAAAAATAGGCAACAGTTTATGAATCAGGGAAATTTTACTAGTTTTTAAAGGTGAAGTTAGGGGTAAAAGAAATACATTATTTTATTGCTTGTGTTTGTTTTTAAATTAATTTATCTTTCGGAGTTTGGATATCAGCTTTGGTATATGGAAAAGAATTTTTAAAATATTGCTTTTGGCAGTTTCTTATATTTTGCTCAGTTTCTCCTTATTACAAAAACAAGTTTATATTTTAAAAAAAAGTTTATATTATAAAAACTTGTTAATATAAATAAAACAAGTTAATATTTTTTTTTAAAAGTTTTAAAAGTTCAAAACTTATCAAATAAAAACAAAACATTAACCACTACTCAGGTATTCTGAAGTATAACTTTGAAATACAGCGGTGCCTCAAGATATGAACTTAATTCATTCCGTAATCTTGCTTGTAAGTCATTTTGCTTGTATCTCAAAGCAATTTCCCCCATTGAAGTAAATTAAATGTCAATAATCCATTCCAGCCCCCAAAATGCCATCCCACTCATTTTTATCACTCATTTTTAATAAGAAAAATATATTTTTAAATGACATATATTGAACTAAAACACAATAAGAGAAAAGGTAAAGAAATAAACAGGTTTAATAAAGTGTATGACCTAGGATAGCAGCCAGTGTGAGCTTACTGTATACTAGATTTTTTCAGCCACTTTTAACCACTTACTTATTACACCTTATTGATAATGCTACACTTTGATCCTGAACTTAAGGGTATGGGCAGTTGATGAAAACCCAATCAGCCAAAATGCTTATGAAATTTAAATAAACTTCACTGAATTTAAATTGAACTTAAATACTAATGTACACATATTTGTTACTTTTTTTTCATTTGGATTGACACAAGCTTATCTGTTTTTTTCTTATTTCAAATTATTCAAGTTCTTCTAAGCAAAAAATTGTTTGCTCAACTAAGTTGAAAAACACTTGAATGTTTTTAGATTGTACAATTGAACAATGTTAAAATTTGCTGTTAAATTGAATTAAACTGCCTTACGCTGATAGCGATACAGGAAGTTTTTAATAAAAAACTAGCTTTGAGCATCACATGATGAAAACTTTGCAGATTCAGATCACATGACTTATTTGGTAATTGGTAAAATACTACTTGGCTAACTCTTATCACATGACTTGTTTTCAGCATCTGGTTACTGCAGTGTTTCTTTCGGACATTTAGATCAGGAGGTGGTGGGGGGGGGGGGGGGGGAGATACTGTTTAAAGTATATATTTTCAATATAATTTTTTTTCTTTTTGTTTTTGGGTGGGGGGGGGGGGGCAGTACTCCCTCCTAAAAGAAATGCCTGAAAGAAACTCTGCTTGACTGTAGTGTAGTGGTGGAGCTCTTATTTCCCCCCCCCCCCCCCCCCCCCTGCTCGCCTGTCCTAACTGCATGCGGCCTTGTCATTTTTTATTCTCTTCCAGAAACAATCAACGGAGAAGATTCAGTTGCCGCCGCAGCGCTGAGGGATATTCAGCAGAGGTCATGGCAGCCTCGAAGCCATGCCAAAAGTAGTACTATAATTATAACAGGGGTCAAACGGGTAAGAGGCCATTGAGAAGCAAACTATCACTTTTAATACAGAGTTATTACCTTAATCGTAGCACATGAGAGAAACAGTTATGATCAGCAGTGTTGTGATCCCATCTTTAGCAAAAAAAATATTTAGCTCTGCATTTTGAGGAATTGATTTAATAATATAAATTTATTTATAATTTGTTCAATTGATTCACAGATGAACACATAGATACAACTGTTTGTTATTGGTAGCTTATTTGAATTAGGTGCAGCATTCAGTCTATAGACTAAAAACAGAGTAGGAATTTTCACTTGTATAATTTAAAATAAGACCCTAAAATAAGTCACAAGAAAAAATGTAATGCTAAATATATGGAACTGGATTCACCACTTTTTTTAAATTAAAAAGAGTTATAGTTCTTGACTGTCTACTTTTTATTTTTACCTCCCTTTGTGTTAGTATTTTATAAAACATTCTTGGTGCTGACCTGACCTAAACATTTTACACTCGTACATAAAAATGTATTTTTATTCTAGCATGAACATTAATTGCATGATTTAGCTTAGATAACCCTTTTGATTCACTGATACTTCTAAAATTATCAAAACTACTTTCGCTAAATGTTTATCTAAAAATGATTTCTTTAAAAAATGGGGCGCTGCTTAGCAAACAATTTTTTATTAAATCAGCTTATGAAAGTTTTATTTTTATTACCACTATTTTATGTTAAATAATTGTAATAAATATTTCTTAAACTATATATTATGGGTAGAAATTTTAAAAAAAATAATATCCTATAATTGGTTAACTTTCTGACACTGATCAATAACAGTCCACAATGGTACTTAGATTATAGGGTTGTCTTTGAATTACAGGAATTTTATCCGATAATTGTATTGCAAAAGTAACATACATACTTACATATACTACATTGAAATAGTCCACAATGCTACTTAGATTATAGGGTTGTCTTTGAATTAGTGATTTTATCAGGTAATTGTATTGCCAAAGTAGCAGACAAACTTGCCATATACTACATTGACCTGACTATTAAAATCAGACCACTAGGTCCATCCTACTGGTTAGTAAAATAGCCTACCCATTTTGGGCTTGTGGTCCAGATGAAGTAGAGTTTATCTGATCTTTAGTATTGTCTGATCAGTCATTAGTTCACCTGACTTAAGTCAGCTACTCACCAGTGCAGTCCGGGCCCAGTCCTGACTTATACACCAGAGTCTGGGAACCAAACTCGTGGCCATCTGGTTCACAGTCATGTGCTCTACCACTCAACCACGTTATCCCACCCTGTGACAACACCAATTGAGAGCTATAAAAAACCAAGTGTGACCCTCCGAGCCTGGTGACTGACCAAACCTTTTTGACCAGATTTATAATACAAAACAATCTGACAAAATAAATCCATTGGTGACCATTAAGTCCATTGATATTTAGACACTATAAATATTTTTATGCATGCAGCAGGAATCCCCACGTCCTAAGCCAAAGGTAACCTTTGCTGTTAAATCTATCACTGATATCACTGACCACTATATTACTGATAAGGCCATTAAGTCCAACGAACTGACCATTATGTTCAAAGATACTGATCTACACACGTACTGATATGACCATTATATCCAATAAACTGACCATTATATCCAATAAACTGACCATCACACATACTGATATGACCCTTATATCAATAAACTGACCATTATATCCAATCCACTGATCATTATATCCAATAAACTGACCATCACACATACTATATGAATATTATATCCAATAAACTGATCATTATAATTATATCCAATAAACTGATCATTATATCCAATAAACTGATCATTATATCCAATAAACTGACCATCACACATACGGATATGACCATCACACATACGGATATGACCATCACACATACTGATGTGACCATTATATCCAATAAACTGACCGCCACATATCTTGTCTGACTTTCACTGTCTGCTTCTATAAAAATATTTTTATATGCATGCAGCAGGAATCTCCGCGTCCTAAACCAAAGGTAACCCTAACCTTTTAAACCTACTGAATTGACAATTAAACTCATTCAGTTAATTATACAAAACTTAAAAATTTGACAATTAAATTCACTGAATAGACTACTTTCTGACTTGACCTTATGGTTGGGCGAACTTCTACAAAACTATTTTCTTTATATGCATGCTGCAGGAATCTCCACGTCTTAAAGCAAAGGTAATCTTAGACATTGAACTTCTTGACTTGACCATTGAACTGACTGGGCCATTAACTACTTGACCATTAAACAAATTAACTTGACCATTGAACCAACTTGACCATTGGACCAACTAACTTGACCATTAAACAAATTAACTAGATCATTGAACCAACTTGACCATTGGACCCACAAACTTGACCATTAAGCAAACTGACTAGACCATCAACATGAACACTGAACCAACAAACTTGACTAATAAGCCAATTATTTTGGACAATTACTATAAAAATGTATCTTTTTGTATGCATGCAGCAGGAATCCCCACGCCCTAAACTAAAGGTAACCAAAAATTGTAAAAAATAAAAACCCTTGACCAATAATGCAAAATAAATTATGCTAACAAGGCATAAAAAATATAAGAGCACCAAATATTCTGCATTGACCATAACAACTACTGAATTAACTATCTAACCTGGTAGTGTGACCATTAAATATGACCACAAAGTCCATTAAATATGATCACCAAGCCCATTTAAGATGACTACAGCCATTAGATATGACCACTAAAACCTACTGACATTACCATCAAGTCTACAGATATGAACACTAAGCCCCACTAATTTTACGACTAAAGGTGTAGAATGGACCACTTACACAGTGATCTGACCAACATACCTATTCAATCAACCAACAAGCATAATACACTGACTGTCAAACCCACTTTTATGACTTCTTTAGGCTTGCTATTATAAAAAAATATTTTCTATGCATGCAGCTGGAGTCTCCACGTCTTAAGCCAAAGGTAAACAAAGCATCAACGAAAAATATTTATACAACCTTCTCAAAAACATCTTATAAAATCCCACTCTCACTTTTTAAACTACTGGTTGAGATCCAACATTTTAAAAAGCTGAGTTTAAGTAAATATAAAAAACAAATGGAATAAATACCTATATAATTTTATAAGGAAAAAAATAGGTTATACCCTAACAACTTGTTGCGTAAATTACATGACACAGAACATTTTTTTTCTTTTATTTCAAATTTTTAAAATTTCTTGATTTGTACACAGACCATTGAGAGCCCTGATGTTGAGGAAGATGCCACACATCAGTACCAAGTTAATCAGTCGTACAACCAACAGCCACAGCCTATTGCACTGAAAGGTAGGAAATAAATGTTTTCTTGTTTGAAATATATGATGATTATAACGTTTATTGTATGAGTTTTACTGCGCGTTAGGTTGGTACTAGCAGTCTGGTGTATAGCTAATAAAAGAAAAATATAGCTGGTTTTAGTATATCAAGAATATAGCTGCTGTTAGTAAATCAAGAATGTAGCTGCTGTTTGTAAATCAAGAACGTAGCTGGAGCAGTCAATAATGTTGATAGTGTCAGTTTGCTGGTGAACAGTTGGTACTTAATAATGTAACAAGAAGCTGCTGCTACTGTCAAAGAGTTGCCTATGTAGCAGACACAGCTGCAATATGTCTAAAAGCCTTAAGATTGTGTTCACATTTATAAGTATATCTACAAACACTGGCCCCTACACACCCCACTCAAGGAAAAACTACATGGGGCACCTGCGGATCTGGAGACCACAGTCCAGTTCATCCACGAAGTTGGACTTGTTGTTTAAATCCTCCACCATAAACTTAATTAAGAATGTAGAAGAAGAAGAAAATAAGTATATCTAGAATTTTGAGAGTTAACATTAAAAAAAAAATTTCTTACTACATATTCACATCTTTATTTGGGAACATTTTCTCTAAAAAAAAATAGCTGATGCATTTAGACATTATTTTTAAAATCAAGTTGTGCTTCATAAATATTTCTGTTAAAGATAAATTGTATAAATAAGTGATGTTAAATTAAAATATATTTTTATCCTAATTTATGAAACAACAGCATGAGTTCTTCATAAGGTGCAGCCAAACCTTTTAGCCTGAATTTTTCCCTTTCTTAAATCATAACTTGGATTGTACTGGTATATTAAAAACTTGCCCTTTCCCATCTAAGTTTGTACAGATGGGTGAGCCCACTCTTCTTCCCCCCCCCCCCCCCCCCCCCAAACAAAATACCAATAAACCCTCTCTGATCAGTAACATGGTTTTCAACATTTAAAAAAACCTCAGGATACCTATTCAACTTTCAAGCCAAACTGACCTCAACTGGGATTCAATTTGTTTATTTTTAATCAGTTTGCAGTGTTCTTACAGTTTTTTGTTTTGACAGATAAAATTAAAGTGATTTTCAAGTTCATTTGTTTCCTTAAAGTAAAATATTGCTTTTTAACATTTATTTCGTTTTACAAATTGTATAACTTGTGAAATTTTTTGCACAAGATTGCGAATGATTGTTTTATTATTAAATTTACAAAATTTTCTCTGAAATTAAACAGTTGGGGAAAACTAAGTAAAAGTTAATTGTTTAGGGTTTCTCTATTTCACAAAAATATGTAAAGTACTTAAATTAGAAATGCTTGGGTGATGTCATTTGACATGTGCTTGTCATTGTGTTACAAATTTTCAGCTTAAAGGAGAAAATTATCATCCTATCCTTGTGGAAAACCTGGTAATACAACACAGAAGATTAAAAAAAAAAATTACAGTAGCTGTCATAACCCCTGCCAAAACCCCTTGTGATCACATGACTAAACTTTTGGTTTGTTCTATTTTGGGGCTGTTTTCTTTTTTATAAGTACATAATAATTTAAAAAAAAAGCTTATTTAAAAATGAATAGATGAACCAGTTTAATCCTCAAGAAAAATTGGTTTTGATATCTTTAAATATGGTTTGGATTTTATTTTTAATGGATGAAAACAGTCTCCAAAAAAAAAATAGCATTTGTGGCATCTCGGCTGGCAAGTAAATAACAAATAATAACTCAATGTGAATCTTCTCTCTGCTTTTGTTCATTAATTTTCATTTTCTGTCATTAGCTGCGTCACCTACTTACAGCTCGTTAACATCTATGGACAGCTGCGTAATCTTAAAATAAAGTTTAGGGTTTCTCTATTTCACTTAAAACATACACATTTTAACTCAAGAGGTTGGAATGAGTCATTGATTCTAGAAAAGATTGAAAAAGCAACAATATTCCAAGTGACTATGAACTAAAATGATTAATATTTTGAGTTTCATAACACATTTTGTTTACTTTTAACTTCTGTTTAATTTTTTTTTAAAACTGTATTTCAGGTTTTGTTTATTTTCTAATTTGATTGCAGTCTGTCTTTTTTTTTTATAAATCTGACCAGCCTAGGTACACAAGCAGATGTTTCTATTCTAAACAAATTTTTTTATAAACATGATGAAACCAAATATTCTCCCTATGATTATATATAAACAATGCTGCGCAGTTGTTGAACTTTGTCTTGTCTCCCTTTAGATTTAAGCTGAAAATTGCTTGCCTTGTGACTAATCTACATCTCAAATGTTACATCATCCATTTTTACAGGGTGGATTTAAAATAACATAGCAATCAGATTCCGCCAACTAAATCAGTGGATAGAAATTTTGATTTATTTTTTAATATGGGAATAATAAATAGTTTATTTAGAAGGTTTAATAAGTAGGCTTGTAAGTACTAAGTACTATATATAGTTAATCTGCTCTAAATTATGTTAAATTTGTAAAGTAATCACGCATACCCTTATCAGATTTAAATATTCAAATTGTATAGTAAACAGGTTCAATGTTTCGTATTATCGTATTCGTATTATTACTAAATTCAGCTTATTTAATTGGTACATCAGCAAGCTATTTACATATATTTCTGACCCTTGAACAAGTTAATGTGGTTTGACCTTTAAGATAATGCTCAATACTGAAATCAGTGTGACCCACCATATTGATGAATCTATTTTCAATTATAGCAGCAGACAAGAAGGAGAGTACAGTGTAAGAAATGGTAACCACATGTAACCTTGTAGACAAGTAGCCCCATTTTTATTTTTTTTACACCCAGCACAGAAATATACATTTTGATATATTTATTGCCAAAGTTTCACAGCTAATCGGTGTTAAGGGCTTATGTTGCTTTATTTTGTTTTAATAACAAACTTTTGTTTCTGCTTCCTATATTTTGGAGGTAATCTATCCTTTCGTTTTATTTTCAACTGTTCTTTTTTTAAAAATACATCAGCTTATAGACCGCGGGTTGGTATAACCGATTTAATTCCAAGCTTACCCATAAATAGTTGCAATTTTATTTTTAGCCTGTAGGCTTATTTTTTCCATCGGAAGGATATTAATTTATCCTTAGGAGTTATTCCTCTTTGATTATCGTTTTCCAGATAAAAAGAAAGGTGGTTTCGGCAGCGCCATTCTGAAAAAGTTTGGCCGTAAGAAGCGTGCGCAAAGTGCTGATCGCACATTGAGTATGCGGGAAGGGGCGTACCTGAAGCCCCCAGAACCCGCGTACGGACCGCAGTCTAAAGGTGCACACAGTTGTCCTTACAACATGATTCCTGAATGTGTCCTTGTGCAACCCACACTGCTTTCTGATTGGCTGTTTCTGTGACATGACTGAATGCATGGGATACCGTGTTTTTAGCTATTCAACTTAAAACTACTAATTTCCATTTAATAGTTTTCTCTATCAGAAAATATATAAAAGAACTCAATTTACAGTTCTCTATTCTATAAATAATAAATTCTAACTTGATTATAAAGCAGTCAGTGATACTAATTTTCATTCAAAACAGTAATTGAACTCTTTCTCTTACTCACTTAACAAAATACATTTAATACAATTTTTTTTAATTAAAAGTACTGAAGTTTGAGCTGCTCCACCAGTTATATTTTAAAACATCCACCCCTTTCCTGACTCTTTCTTTCCAAAGCTGGCATTTAATAAGAAATCCATTTGTGCTATCTTGAAAACTTAGAGTTAATTACCATGAAGTTGATGTATGAAACAATTGTTTTTATTTTCTACTCAAGCCCACTAATGTGCATGCATTAGCTGAATGTATCAGAGATTTCTTTCAGGGGCGAATTTTAAAGTGTCTAGTTGTTGTGGGGGCTCATCCCCTGTGTCAGGATTTAGCACACAAAAAAATGTTTTCAGGGCTGCTATTGTTGGTATTGCTGTGAATATTGTATGTGTGCTCACACCCACCAACCCACCCTCTTTTAAAGTTCTTTAATGCACCCCCCCCCCCCCCCCGCCACACACACACAAAATCTAATGTTATCTGAAGAAGTAAGATGTCCCTAATTCATTTATAGCTTGTCACTTGATTATGTTAAATATGATACCTGATTATATTAATTCATATGTGATTTTATATATATATATATATATATATATATATATATATATATATATATATATATATATATATATATATATATATATATATATATATATATATATATCCTGGTTTAAAAAAATACATTTCTGTAGATATACTCTAATGCGTGTGCTTTAATGAGTTATTAAATTGTGCCTTATCACTGAAAGTGAGTAGTTCACTAATTACTTCTATAAGTAAAAAAAATAGAGATATTTGCAAGATATGTTATGGAAGCAATACCATCTGATGTCTAGTAGAGTTATAAGTTGTTTACATGACTATAGCTATAATCAACTGCCTCTGGAAAAGTAATTAAAACATCTAGAGTACTTCATAGGTACACACTCATTTAATTTAGTTGTGTCACTTATCATGTTACATTAAGTTTAAGAAAAAATGTATGGATTTTTAAAAAATCACCTTCCCTACACAACCCCTACCCTTCTTCCTCCACCCCATCATAATCCTGGGCCAAGCATGCCTCCCACAGGATGGTTTTACTGTGAAATGTATCAGTTTTAAACATTTGTTTGGTTAGGCTGTCTGCATTTTCTTTCTATTCACCGTAAGATTTTTTTTGGGGGGGGAGGGGGGGGGGGGGTGTGAATGTATTAGTAATTCATGCCATTAAATTTAAAACAGCCAGAAACGTGATGGTTTTGATTTGTGGAATGTGCTGAGTCTGTTTTAAAAAATTAATACTTTATTCCAGCTTCAAGAGCTCTCCTGGGCAAATTTTCTGGAATTTGATTTCACTGTTAAATTAAAAAAAATTTCTTTCATCATCATGCAACTAAATACTCCTCAGCGCTATCTAAACATGTTGGCTTGTGGGCAAGCAAGCTGCTGCTATCTTTCAATGTGCTTTCTTTATGTCTAAAGCTTGACGTAGGTAGCAAGTCTGGCTACTGTGTTTCTTTTGGCACGACATTTGGTAGTTACTAGTTAGAACTTTGTTGTGTTTTGTTTAATGAAAATAATGTTTACTTTGTAGAAAATTAAAACATAACAATGCTGAATCATGTAGTAAAACAAAAACAACTAATATCTTATTTATGATAATATTCATTTGTTAATTTTTTTTAAAAATGTCTTTATCATAAGTATACCATTTATTATATAGAAACATCTTAAAAATGTAATTATTGTTGTTATAAAAAAGTTACATAATTTTGTTTGTAAATTTGATTGTCAAAGTTGAAAAATTCAGTGTAATGCATTTGTCATATATATTATGTCTTTAAATATATATCAATACCTGGAATGTAAAGTTTTAGTTTTAAAACATTTCAATAACATTTTGGCACTGATATATAATAACACTACTTTTTATTATAAGTTATTTTGTGGACCAAAGCAATAACCAACTTTTTCTGTGATTTACAGATGATTTGGAGCTGGTTAGACCGCAGTCCATGGAGGCACCTCCATCTCCCAACTTAAAGAAATCTAGAACTCTTGGTGGAAGCTTAAAGAAATTATTCAAACGAAGTCGGAAGCGATCTCAGACAAGGGGTGACTCCAGAGAAAGCTCGCTGTCTAGAGGCTCCCGATCCAAAGGCCCATCAAGAGATAGTTCGCTGACTCGGCAGAACCAGAGAGAGAGTGATCAAAGGGCATCTTCAGTTTCATGAGATTAAGTCATACTTTTAGTTTAAACACTGAACTTGTATATTATAACAGTATTTTTTTTAACTTGAAAGATCACGATGGTAGTTAACTCTCATAATGGGAGTTACCTCTCACAAGGGGACTTGCTTCTCATAAGGGAGTTAACTCTCAATGCATTTCACAATGCTCAAAAGTAGTTGAGGAACTTACTAGTAATAGTAGTAACCATCAGTGTTAAGTTACGCTCTAGTCAAATATCCATTACTCTAAGAGATTCATCTATTTAACATTTTTTAACGATCTTTCTTTTTTAACAATCTTTCTTGTGAGCATATGTGATCATTATATACATCTGATTATATTTTTGAGCATCATATTTTCAAACATGGCTGTTAACTCTTTACTGTACAAAGTTTTCTCTCTAGTTTTTAAAAATGCAAAACTTAATTTAACAAGGTGTTAATCAAGTGAATATAAGTTTATGTACTTAAAAGGTGCAGAATATTTTATTTAAGTATTTAACAAAGGTTCTTGTAATGTAATTTTGGAAGAATAACAACATAAAAACTATGTTATCATTCTGATCAAGTAGATCTATAGATCTACTAGGTATCTGTATCTGTTCAATAATTTTAGTAAAAAAAAAATGTCAAAATACAACAGAAAAAAAACAATGGTGAGAGTATATGCCTGAGACCTATATCTATTGAGACTTGTACGATATACTGCGACTGAGCTTAGCTAGGTTTATTTGTAACTCATAATTTATTATCAGCACCTGTATATGGTATCAATGTGATAAATGCATGATATAAAAAATGATAGGGATATTGTATTCCTTGTACGACTGGTATATTTTTTTTATTTTGCTTTTCTGTGATGTTTTATTTAAAAAAAAACAGTTACTGTTTCAACCCCCAAAAAATAATCCCCAAGCCTTTTCTTCCCTATATTTTTTCATTCGCACAGCTTCTGCTGAAGATAACCCCTATAGTTTATTTTGCACTGCATTTAACACTAAATTTGATTCCACTTGCAATGGTTAAGAGAAAATAAAATTCAATTTTCCAGAAGTAATATATCTGCCACAGAAATCTTTTCCCCCTAGAAAATATCCCCCCTCTCGTAGTTATAGATAAATCATCATAATACAGAATGTGACTTTATCCCTTGCGCAGGTTTCTTTTCGACAAAAAAAAAGGGCGTTTAGTGCGACACCCTTTTCTACCACTGTAAAGGGATATAAGCCACTTTTTGAGGGTGGTGAAACTAACACTTGTACATTTTTCCAGATATTTAATGCTTCCTTTCAATGCTTTTTTTAGTTGCTCACTCTATTTATTCAATGTTGCACCTAATTTTGCAAGCATAATTCCCTGCATGTGATATCCCTGTCTCTACATTGTTTTTACCACTTCTTTTTTAGGGGTAAAGGAGCGAATTGTACCCATCGAAAGGAGTTAATTACACAAAGCTATATTATATGATTAACTAAAAACAAAAAAAAAATCATGATTCTTAAAAGATCACAATTAAATACTCTTTTTACTCTTTAAAAAAAAAGTAATAGAAATCGTGGTACAGTTTTGTGGTTAACCTCACATGACTAATACTACCATTTTTTGAGCTACCATCATATTTTGAACAATCCTCACATTTGTATGGCCCTAAAAAAGTGTGTAAAAATAAATGTTGTAATGTAGATTTCAGCTAAGTCTTAGCAGTACAAAAAAAAAAGGTGAATAAATGGTCTCAACACGTAAAATGTTTGGACAGCATCTTTGAGTTACTTCACTCAGTGCCTAGCCATAGTCTGTGATGCTTACTTCAGCTAGACACAGACTTTTTATGTCCATATATTCCCACATATCCATGTCATACAATTACTCGACAATCCAATGTCTACATTTTTAGTTTATAATCAAATAACACTAACAAGTATATCATCGTTTAGTTGCAGTAAGATTTGTTCGCAAGAAAGGAACAGTTTCTCTTATCAATTTTTTTTTATTTGCTCAATTTGCAATATGCAAAAAAAAGTTTATTGAATCAAATATTTATTTTTTAAAATCATTGATCACAGTCTTAAAGCTTTATTTTTGTACTTAATCTACACAGGTTGTTCTGTACTTGTTGCTAGCATGACAAAAATTTAAATTTTTAAAGACTTGGTTGCCTCCAAATATTACAATACTATTTATGCGGTAGTGATTAACATCTGTTTAAAAATCTATTTTTATACTGAGATTATTCTTTAAGGTGGGTTTAAGATTTGCCAATTTACTAATGCAATGTCTTCATATGCAAGGGCACATTAACCAAGGGGCCCCCAATAAAAAAGATGAATAAATCTAGTCTTTGCAAATCTATATTAATTGCACCACTACTTTGTTATAGTTTATAGTACTTAATATTCATAAACGAGTAATAAACTGAGGTACTATTTATATTAAATACCTTCAAACAAATGGTATTTTTGTTAGGTAATGATATTGTTTTTAGTGTGAGCGACAGTTGAGGGTAATTATATGATTTTAAAAGCAAGATGAACTTGTATTTATTGAGCAGGTGAGGAGTTACCCACCAAGTGCCGACAGACTAGGGTAGCTCAACAGGTTAAGCTAGACAATCTTGTGTCAACTGTTAGCCAAAGATTTCATGAATGTATTTTCACTAGTGAGAGAAACTTCTAATGTTGGTGTTTTGTATGGGAGTTGTGTGCTGATTGTTATGCCAGTAAAAAAAAACTTTTCGTATCAGGTTTTCCACTTTGATGGGATGCAAATTATTTTAATGATTTTTTTTATAATGGTATTGATAATGATATATTAGACTAAAGTAGATTTTATGCATGATTTCTTTCTGTAATTATTTGGCAAATCAATACTTTGGTTTATGCTTGGGAAAACTATCTGGCAAACCTGAGATTGTTTAGGACATTTACTGACTAATCTCATTATAGCAGTGATAAATACAAATAATCTGCACAAATATTTGCTGAAAGATTCAAGAAGCAAAGATTAAGCCAGACCTGCAGCCAAATAAAAACATTAGTTACACCTTTAATCGCCCCAACCTGTGTGTGAATCCATCCTTGGAAATAGCTTTAGTTTTCCTTAGATTTCTATTGGTCTCTATTTATATCTATCTTTTATTTATTGGCTGTTGTTTTTTCTATGTTGGAAAATACCATTGGATGTTGTTTTCTTTTTTTTTAACAATATTTTTGTTTGATGTTTTGAAGTTAATTGATTGTGCTTTTTAATCATAAATTCATTTTTTTTAAATCTTACTAAAATCTATTAGAAATCAAAGAAAAAAAAATTAGATTTTAAAATTGAAATAATAAAACTCAATGTTACTTCAGCTTTCAGATTAGCTCACATTGAGTTAAAAGTCTGAAATTATTTTGATATAATTATTGTAAAATCAACTCAATATTATTACAGGTTTTTATAATTTAGAAAAGTGGCATAATTATTAATAAACCCTAGGCCTTTGCCTATATTGTTAGGTGAAAAATAGAAAATTTAAACAAAACAAAGAATAAAAAATTTTCAAATCTGTGTTTTATTTATTTATTTACATACAAATAATTATTTTTTAAAACCATATTACAATTTTGTTTTAAATAGGGCCAGGTTTATTATCTTTGTAGTGATTACATTAAAACATGGTGATTTTTATATTAAAACAAATTTTCAAAACAAGATGGTTGTGTTGTTTGAATTATGTTTGATTTAGCTTGTCCTGATTAAACCAATAACATTTAAATATAAATAACATTTAAATATAAAATGCATAAGATTATTACAACTGTAATACATAATGTATAAAGCAATACCTATTTTCATATGAACTGAATGACCAATCAGCTGCTATAATGTAAGGCACTTTTTAGTAAAGAAAATCACCCTAAGAAACCATTTGATAATAATAAAGAGAAATCAATAAGGATGCACTCATTAAATAATACACAATGTCTTCAAATGAATTAACATTAGCATTTGTTAATGAAATCACATTCAGCAGTGTTTCCATTCTTACAGATTACAAATATCTTAGCTGCCATTTAATTTGTTGTATAAGTACCATACATATTTTAATGCAACTTTGCAACATTCGAAGATTGATTGTATTCTGTGATTGCTTGCAATCAAAGTGACAGGAGTTTGCATGTGAACTTCAAGCAGGTAGGAAACAAAATTTAATGTCTGCTAGTTTGGAAAAAAACTAACCTTGAGTACAAATCTCATCAAACTTTCTCAAAACCTCAACACTTCTACAGTACAGTGTATAGTCCATCCTACCCACACTCCTTGCTACTCTTGGTTTGAGAGTGATCTCCCCTGTGGCATCATCTTTCTCCAGCTCCCCTATCAACATGACCAGTGATCCTTTCACATACTGGTCAGTGTCTGTGAGATGTATGTCCACTCTGATTTGACAATTTTGTTTGTTAGGTTCTGATAGCATCACAATATTTGTGTGTATATCATGTTGATCAACGCTGAAAAAAAAATTTGTTTCTATCAAAGAACAGGTCAAGGTAATGGCTAGCTTGATTTATGATTAGAAATGCTTGGATATCTAGGGTGATAACTAGAGTCATGTATCTTTGAAGGTGATGCTGATTCTTAAGTATCAATTGCCATTTATCAACTTTGTTTAAGGGGAAAGTATCAAAACTATTCTGAAGTAGCCAGAAGGGCTTAAATTAATACTATGATAGAAAAGAATATGGAGTGAGAAAGTGCATGAGTTGAACATTAGTGAAATGAAAATGTTTTTAAAAATAAGTAAAATGACTAGTTCTGGTCAATATATGTAAATTATATATATATATATATATATATATATATATATATATATATATATATATATATATATATATATATATATATATATATATATATATATGTGGTTCTTGACTTAGGCCATTGGCCAGGTTACCAACCAAAATAGAAGATAATTAGCAGATTTTGGGGGTTTGTATACAATTATGATCATGAAATTAGGTCTTTATTGATTAACACATTCACTCATACAAATAAACTTATACTCACACACATACACACAAACTTATAAACAAACACAAACACTCTCACTGTCTCTCACATAAACATAGTGATGCCAACTGCCTTAGATGTTGTGCTCTTTATAAGAATTGTCTCACTTTGTCTGGAACAGGGTATGACCCCCCCCCTCCCACACGACACATCTTAAAGTACAGCTAGGGTTAGAGTAAAGGTTAGGTTAGGGCTATAACTATGGCTAGGTTTAGAATTAGTGTTATGGTCAGGGTGAGGGTTATGGTAAAGCTTAGGCTAAAACCAATGTCTAGATTTGGTTTTGGTTATGTGTTAAGTTTTAGGCTGAGGTGAATGCTTAGGTTTCGGTCATTTTTTTAAGGTTAGGATAAAGGAAATATATAGGTATAGAGTTTGAGTTAGAGTCAGGATAAAAACTTAAGGGGGGAGGGGGGAAATGTCCTGTAACCCACCTCGTCATAGTGGAGGCTATCACATACAGTATTATTTAACCCATATTTTGGCACTGGCCAGCCAATACACTAAATGCACTGCTCATTTTTAAAGGTATTTGAACAATGGCCTGATCATCCCAGCCAGGGCGTGTATTGACAGATTAGCAATAAAAGACTAGGCCTATATAAAATGCTTTTTTCATTCAACAAGCTTAGCAGCACTCAGGATTTCACGATGTGTAAATACTGTTACTATTGGGATCAGTGAAATAGATCTTGTATTATGCTGTGAGAAGGTTTGTTTATGTGAACAAGAACTTGAGACTTAAAGGGGCTTCAGGTTGTCGAGGGAGAAAGAAAACAGCATTAGGATGAGTTTCATGTCAGGTGTTAAGGAGAGAGACATTGGAGTAGGTGTGAAATTTTTGAGTGCTTCTATTATGAAAGATATGTTAAACAATTGATTATCTTGACATTTTGTTAAATGCAATAAATGGGGTTATTGGGTGATGATCAAAAGCTATGTGATAGTGATTATCACATTAGTTTTTAAATAATTTGATTTTTATCTGGTCGAAATGTCTTATTTTTATGTCATGATAATTAATTACATTAATATCATAACAGTGTTTATACTATAGAGTTGTGTGTAAAATGTCTAACCAAGTCTAACCTAGATTGTAGGCCTAGATCTATAATTTTTCTTCTATTAGTAGGCCTAACTAAATAAGATTATATTTTATATTATTGACGATAGATGACCCTATGGCGACCTTGCATATAGATTTATAGAGTCTAGCTCGAATTTTAAAATTACCGTCCAACTACACGAACTGATTTTCCTTCTAAAGACTGCTGGGATGAAATAATTTCAGAGATCAGAGTTGGTACACCATAAGCAGGACATCGGTCTGTCATTGTTTAGCAGGCCTAGATCTAGATTTAGTTTCTACTAGATCTAAATAGTTAATAATATTAATATTATTATAGATCTAGATATTGAGTCGATTAATATTTAGTTGGGCCTATAGAATAAATTATTACGACAACCTATCTAGTAGTATCTAGATTCTAATCTCTAATGTAGATGGCATGGTTCTATTCTAGCTCTACTCTATAGTCCCCTAGATAATACTAGATCTAGATATCTTTATCTAATCTAGCATTTAGAAATCTAGACTAGGGCCTAGATTTAGATCTAGAATCTAGGCCTAGATTCTAATTCCTAATCTACTGCCAACCAAGCTTATAAGAAAACCTTCCCGCCCTTTGTTGCCAGATAAATGTTTTAAAGTCTGGCCAATATTATTTTATAGGCTTGCTTTCATAAAATGCTCACTTTCTTCAGCAGTCTTTCCTTACTTCCAAAGAATTTTATAAATAGTACTTTTAATACCAAAAAATTCAAATTTTGTTTATAATCATTTAAATAGGAGAGGGTGCACCCTATTGGGAAAGATTTTATGTAACAATGTGCACGAGAGGGTGGGTGAGATTATAATTATGTTTCAGTAAACTAATCATTTTCCAATTAATTTATAATGGTTGTTTTTTTCTAAATTGTTATACATATTTACCTGTTCTCAATTGACTTTGTAGAAATAAATAGTTTTTTTAAAGTGAAATAATTGTCAATGTAGTTTCATTTTTGATAAAAACATCAGATATAGAAAAAAATTATATTTGCAACAATCAATTATGCACCCATTTAATATTAAATTAAATTGCTAGAGTAAAAAGTTATTTATTTTCTTTTCTTATAGTCACAATGAAGCAGTTTTGTTTTTGACTTGGATGTTCTTTGGAATAATTCATAGATTATGTGTTAACTTGTAATTTTTTTTTATGCATGTTCTAGTAGAGTCTGTAGTTCTAGCAGATAATACATTATTAAAATGGGATTAGCCAGTAAATTCAGAGTCATTTTTGTGCTTATTTTCCCCCACTTTAAAAATAACAATATATAAAATATATATACTTTTTCACACATTTCAAATTTAATGAATACAAGTTATTTGCATTAAATTTAGATTATCTCAAATAAGTTTCAAAATTTAATATTGATATAATACATTAAAAAGGAACTACTACTGTAAATGTATTTTGAATATATGGAGGGGTGAATCATTGATACTGAAAGGCCATGTATAATAAAGTCAGTTATATTATCACTTATCTAAATTTAAAATACTAAACAATAATAACAGTACAAAACAAATAATAATTTTAAAATAACATTTTTATTGTTTTTAGTTGTAAAAAATAATTACATCTGACAAGAGGATACCCCTTTTATAAAATTTAAAATGTGAGTTGCATTAAATGAACCATTTGACATCTTTCATAAATGTATGATGTCTTTAAAAACACACGTAGCTTAAAAACACATTCGGTTCATGTCAAATTAAATATTTTTAAAAATCCAACACTCAAGGGATATTACCCTATGAGATATCAAACTACTGAAAGATTAGTGTTGGATAACTAATGAGTAAATAAATATACAGCTGCCTTTGTCTAATAAGTTAAAGAAATAGATTTAATAAATGAGAGACAAGGCAAGTTGTAAATTTAAAAACCAAAATGATTAAAATCAATAGTACATACTAGAATTATTAAGCTTGAAAAGATGAAAGGAAAAGAGAGAGGGTTAAAAGCAGAAGAATAAAAAAAATGTGTCAATAAAAATCATAACTAAAAGAAAATCTTCCACAGGGAAGTTGAGTCAAACATGAGATGAAATTCTCATTAACTTATTTCAGCAGTTGCACCTCCACAATTATGACTTAATATTTTTTTAAACTATTTTTTTTAAAAATATGACAGTACTGGAAGCCAACAAAATATTTAACAAGGGAAGAAACAACAGAATTCTAAAATTATTTGGCTTTATACAAGTAAGAAAAAGGCTATTTTTAAAATGTTGCTCACTAAAATAACATAGGTAAAAAGACTAATGATGGGTAAAATTATCCATCATGTAAACAGCTAAAAGTAATCTTTTTTTTTTGGTCCCAACAAATTAAAACATAAGTATCCCTGCAGAAACAAAGTGAAAATAAAAATTTTAATCTAATGTACATGATGATTATGGCTGTTCTACCAGTAGTTACACCTTGTCAAATTGGTTACACGAACTATATGATGAGCTGTCATCTTAGGGTTGGGTATTCATCTTTGGGCAAGACAAAAGATCGACAGTTGGGGCAAGATCTTTCTTCCTCAAACCATTTCTTGATACACTGAAATAAGCAAAAAGTTCACAATATACTTTTCATAGAACAAAGAGTTTATTATATAATTATTTATTTTTTATACTAGATAACGCAATAGCAAGTCGAAAAAATTATCCATGGGGAAAATCCTTATAAATCCAAAAATATTTGGAACAGAATGTAGTTTTTTCAGCAGGCGTAATGGAATAGCAAGTGAAGAAATGTATTGATGGAAACTTCTGGTCTAAAAAATATCTGTATAAGAATGTGGTTGTATTTGCAAGTGGATCGGTCCAAAAAAAAATTTAGCCAGTATTATTCTCTGAAATTCGTCAAATTTTTGTTTACATTTTTTTAATGTGTCAACCCTGATCTTACTACTCGCTTCTATTTACATCAAATTTGTTTTACTTCTCTGGGTCATAGTAATTAGGTTAAGCCCTAATTAAGGTGATTTTAATGGCTAGAAAACCATTTTCCATCTTAAAAACTTGTCATGGTGTTATGACTTTTATTTTACAGTAAACCATCTGAATTGTGATTATGGGATTTACGATGTTTACATATTTGGACAATACTGACAGGGTCATGCATGTTTTGACTAATCTTAAAAGAGCTGAATTTTTAAAATCAGAGTTAATTTTTTCTTTTTAAAAATGCATTATAGGAAAGGTTAAACGGTTTAACTTAAAGAAATGTATGAGGAAAAGTTAACAAACTGTATAAACTCACATGTTCATGGAACCTATGAGAGCAGTCCAGGGTCTGAGCCTTGTTGTAGTTGATGAGCTCCCTGCAGATGGTGCAAGTGTTGTCTGACACTGTGCGTGAGACTTTACTGGTGGACAGCTCGTTTGATTTGCTGGTTGGCTGGCTAGTGGCCTGGGACACAACACAAACAGATAACCTTTACAACTGGGCTAGGTATAGGTTCTGGTTAAGGTTAGCTTAGGTACAATTTTAATGAGTACTGAGCAAACTAGTCAAATTTACATAGATATAATCTGGTAAGCCATAATTTTAATAAGTTTATATATATATATATATATATATATATATATATATATATATATATATATATATATATATATATATATATATATATATATATATATATATATATATATATACATATATATATACATATATATATATATATATATATATATATATATATATATACATACATACATATATATATATATATATATATATATATACATACATACATATATATATATATATATATATATATATACATACATATATATATATATATATATATACATACATATATATATATATATATATATATATATATATATATATATATATATATATATATATATACATATATATATATATATACTAGCTGCATCCCGTGCTCCGCCACGGTAAATCTTTTTAAAATGTACCAACTTGGGAACAGAACAAAACTAAACACAACACAAACGAACGCAAAAAAAAAACAACGAAAAAACAAACACAACACTCATAACATAAACACAATTTAAATGCAATCATAAAGGCAAATTGCTCACAGTCTAGCCCGTAGCGCCGAATCGCGCCCTTTCCGGTGATTTGCAACCCCCTCAAACTTTCGATTTGCACCCCTTCCACCCCCCCCCCCCCCCCCGCCCTAAAACTTTCGATTTCCAACCCCCCCCCCCCCTCGCACATTTTTTCCAACCCACTTTGGCGCCCCCTAAGGTCGGCACCCGGGGACATATGCCCCCCCCCCCTCGCTACGCCTCTCCTATAAAACCCGAAAGATAGAATAATAATTAGAAAACAGTATAAATAATAGGCAGTATTTAAAATATCCGTGTTTTACCTACAATATTTCACTTTATCCATTCACGCATTTTTTTCCAGTACTTTAAATTTAAAAAAATTACAATAGAGTTTCATAACTAAAACCATTGCGCACCTAATGAACGTGATGACGCGTCTATAATAGAGCTGAATAGTTGATTAAAAATTATAAGTAATAAACAGTAGGGCCTACATTCAGTGAATAAAATAAATAAAAGATTGCCTTTTATCAATCCATGCTAATTATAATTTTCTAACAATAATTTCCTCTTACACATCCGAATAATTTGCATTCACATTTTGCTAATTATATTATTGCAACACTAATTCCTTCTATGACGAACGTATATTTGCATTTACATTTTTTATTAGCGTGAGTTTAATGTATTTTTAAATTACCTCCTTTGTCAAAATTAGAAAAGAGTTAAATTAATTTGATTTTTCTACCGTACTGTTATTATCTTATTAAAATGTATCCACTTTTTCTGGGAACCTAAACGAAAATGATATTTGACATTAATCTTTTTAATACGTTTTAGCAGTTTGCGTGTATTTAATATTTTCTTGACGTTATGCGAAAGAGTAAAAACCGTGGCAATTATAAAATAGCTCTATGCCGCTATATAAACAACCCCTACTCTAATACTTATAATAAGACACTGCGGTGCACTGAAAAGCACAGCATGGTGCGAATGTTTACTTTTATGGTTCCAAAATCTATAGCGATGACGGAAGGAAGGACTGACAACTACCAGCAGCGTTATATTATAGATATATATATATATATATTATAATATCAGATAGAAAATTATATTCTATAATTTTAATAAGTACTGACCACCCATACCCAATCCTATAATATCATTAGGTTCAAATTAACTTGTTACTCACAGCATCCTTCTCTATGATCCTCTCTGCTATATGCCTTGTCAGCAGATCTTCTGTGAACCTGGACAATGATCCACCATTTTCACTTCGAAGCTGTGAAATTATTTTTTGGATCTCAGTCCTTGAAAAGTAGAAAAAAATTGAAAGTTTTACACATTTCAATTTAAATAATTATTAATAGACCATTGTTGTACAAATTTATTTGATTTTTTTTTAAAAAATATTTTAAACAGATCATTATGATAGCTTATTATTTTTTTACTTTCTCGTATATACGAAGTATAGAGAAAGTCTTGTAATCGTGCAAAAAAAAAAATCTTTACACCTCACTGATACGGAAAAACATAATTTTGCAATCTTGTCCGTATGTCTGTCTGTGTGTGTGTGTGTGTGTCCGTGTGTACACACGATAACTTGAGTACCGTTACAGCTAGGTTGATGAAATTTCATATATCAGTATTTTATCAAAATCGTAGATCCGTATCAACTTTTGAGCGATTTCCGATAACCGGAAGTGGTACTTTTTCTACTTTGAATTTTTCAAAAGCCTATAACTTGAGTACTATTTCAGATAGATAAATGAAATTTGATATGTAAGTAAAAGATCTAATTCTCTACCTTCTGTCAAATTTTGAGTAATTTCCATTGACCGGAAGTAGTAATTTACGCTATTTCCGATTTCTCAAAAAACACATGTAAATTTTTAAAGTACTAATAATATTGCGCACTATTATGCACATCTTTATTTAGCGTTCACTTGGTGTGCAATTCTTTTTTCTACGAGATTATATTCTATTTTAAAAAGTTTGAGTATTTAAAATGGATTAAAAATCATGTCTAGAAGTCTATATCCCGAGTTGCCATCCCCCGTAGTGTTATATTAGAATATTCGAGAAAGTTTAGGGGAGATCACTCCCGGTTTATTTTAATATATATTAATAAGGAAAAAAATTGGTTTTGGTGTACCTTAGGTTTTTTTTTTTGCAAGTTTATCTATTTTAAAAAAAAACATTTGTTTCTGGATGGATTGTTATGACATTCTATAATAGAAAATTAGGAAAACAATGGTCTTTGTGTACCTTGAGGAACTGGGGAATGTTTCCTGGATTCTTTGGACAAGTTTTTCAAACGACGTCTGCGGTTGAGCATTGAGAGATGAGGATGGGCGAGGCACGGTGGCGACAGATTTCAGTGGACGGAGAGGAGCGCCCCTGGTGATGGGTCTAAAGACAGGTCTGATGGCTGGGTTCCTGGGGTTCAAGGCCAGAGGCTGGCGTGTTGGTGACTCGGCCCCAGCTGAGAGAGATGGGCTGCTGCTGCCACTGCTGGTCTGGGACAGGCCATTTGTTTCAACTGTTCGGACAAGTCATTTTTTTTTTAATTGAATATACAGATAAATTACATTTTTAGACTGTTATTGCAAAACCCAATAGTTGAGAACTAAGCTTTTAAATGCACTGATAATAAAACTAGTTTTCGTTAATAAAGGCATAAGTTGATAAAATTTGTAAGAGATCTCTTAGTTATTTTTTTCAATTAAATATACATATAAAACACATTTTTGGACCGTTATTGCAAAACCCAATAGTTGAAAAGTATGCTTTTAAATGCACTGATAATAAGAGAATAAAACTTGTTTTCATTAATAATGGCATGTTGCTAAAATTTGCAAGAGATCTCTTGATAGTTATTTTTTCAATTAAATATACAGATAAATTACATTTTTAGACTGTTATTGCTAAACCCAATAGTTGAGAACTATGCTTTTAAATGCACTGATAATAAAACTTGTTTTCGTTAATAAAGGCATAAGTTGATAAAATTTGTAAGAGATCTCTTGATAGTTATTTTTTTCAATTAAATATACATATAAAACACATTTTTGGACCATTATTGCAAAACCAATAGTTGAAAACTATGCTTTTAAATGCACTGATAATAAAACTTGTTTTCGTTAATAAAGGCATAAGTTGCTAAAATTTGTAAGAGATCTCTTGATAGTAATTTTTTTCAATTTTAATATGCATATAAAATACATTTTTAGACTTATTGCAAAACTAAATAAAAAAACATAATAAAACAAATATAAAAAAAACCTTTATAATAATAATGAACTTTTAAATGCACTGAACGTAAGAAAATAAAACAAACTTGCTTTCATTAATAAAGGCATGGGTTGCTAAAATATGTAAGAGATTTCTTGATAGTTATTTTTTAATTAAATATATGGATAATTTTTTTCAGACTGTTATTGTTGAGCCAAATAGAATGACATGCAAATGCAACTGAACTCAAAAAACTCAAATTGAGGTATTCAGTAATATGTCCCTGTGCTTCTTGAGCTTTTATTGAGTTTGCTGGCTAAAATACAGGAAACTAATAAAGGAACTGGGTCTTTGACTACAAAGAAACAATTAAACTCTTTCTTCATGTGAACTGTAACTGTGATAATTTTTTATTAACTAACGTATTTATTTAAAACCAAAAAGTAGATAGGTCCTTAGATTTGGATTTAAATATTCCTTATTAAGTGGTTAAAAAATATGTCTTCATAACTCACATAAAGCTAATAAGATGATGGGTTAAAATAGAAACCTACTCAGATCTTCTTTGTCTAGACTTATATTTTTCGGGCTGCTGATTCTTGCAATGTCAAATCTGGGGCTGTCAACTCTCGGACTGTCAACTCTTGGAGTGTCAACTCTTTCTTCTTTTTCTGTGTTTTTTTTAAATATCATGTCCAATTTTGCTGATGCTTTTATCCCAATATCATCATTAATTTCTGAAAAATTAGATTTATATATACAACTTAATAAATATTTTTTTATGTAATAAACTTTTTCCAAAAGTAAAATTTAATAGTAACTATTATAATTTTAATATTAGAAACAATTAATATAAACAAAAAATGAACAAACCTCTAAAATGAATTTGTCTGTTCGAAAAACTCTGGAAAAAAAATTTAAATAGAAAATTAAATAGTGTTAAGGAGAAAACTAGCTAGATAAAAAAAAGCGATTACAATGTTAAACAATGAGACTGATAAAAAAGAAAAAAAATGCAACTGTGGCCAATACTTACATCTGAAGGTGGTGAGGGAGGAGTTGGTGGAGTCAGTATTAGAGGTTCAAGTTCACTGATGGGAACTTTCTGGTTCAGTAACTCTATTTTTTCACTGTAGATGACCTGAAAATTAGGGATGGTAAAAATATGTTTTTGGTCAAAGTTGAAGGGAAAAAAGTAAGCTTCTTGAAACATTCAACTTTTTAAAAAAACAGAAATTATTAACCATTGCATCACTATGTAGGTGAATTTGTTACAGGTAGCTGTGCAATTCGTTAAATTATGCTTTTCAAACTAAGACTGAGAGTAATAGTATTTCAAATATTTTTCAGCATATTTTTTGCTTTTAGCTCAAATTAGAACTTTTTAAAAAGTACTTAATAATGAACAGAAATGCTGCATATAAACTATTTTGTTATCTGAGACTGTGATTTTCAATTTTTTTGTTTTAAAACATATTTACAAGGTCTCTTTTCATCATGGCAATCTACTTCAATTAAGTTAAGGGCAAAGTTGGTTCTTGCTGTGTGACTTACACTTGTCTCGTCCACTTGAGCATCACAAAGTTTCATATACTCTGTCCACTCTTTGCTTTTCTTCTTCAGCTCCTGAAGACCTTCACTTCCTTCTACCGTGTTCTCACCTCTGTAAAGAAATTTTTATTTTAAGTTTTAGTTTTAAATATCTTGCTTCTATTTTAAATGAAATTCAAGCTTTTAGGTCTGAATAAAAAAAACCTGAGCATTTTGCAAGTTAAAAGTTTTTAACTAGAAACTAAGCTGAAGTAAAACGTTAACATTAAAAAATTGTTTTTTCTTTTACTTAATTATAGTTCAAGTTTTAAATATCTTGCTTCTATTTTAAATGAAACTCAAGCTTTTAGGTCTGAATAAAAAAAACCTGAGCATTTAAAAGTTTTTAACTAGAAACTAGGCTGAAGTAAAACGTTAACATTAAAAAATTGTTTTTTCTTTTACTTAATTATAACCACCTTTTCATGTGTTTTTTAATATACAAGTGGTACTTCAAAATACAAATGCCCAAACATACAAGATTTTTTTTGCCATCAAGTGGCAATATATTGCTTTGAAATACAAGTTAACTTTGAGATACGAATAACTTTGGGACATGGTTTTTTTTATAACGGGGCAAATGTTGCAATAAAAGCATCATAGACCAGTGAAGAGAATAGTGACAAAAATTAAGCAAACTTTAGTTCAGTGAAGTTCCACTAAGTTTTGGGACCATTAAGACTAGCAAGTGAATTAGAGAGACTGAAAGATTGAAAAGTAAATAAAAGAAGTGGAGTTTCTCCCATCTCTTCTCCCCCTAACCTACACCAGCATCTACTAAAAACTCAAGTCGAATGAGTTCTAACATAAATACACTTTATAAGAGCAGTTTAAGTCTTTACATTTACTTTTATTAAGTTTTCACACAAAAATTTTCATTCAATTATAAATACATTTTTCTTATTAAAAAAAATAACAAAAAACCACTTGCGTAGTATTTTAAGGGCCGAACTAATGACATTACAATTCATTTCAAGGGGGAAAATAGCTCTTATATACAAGCAAATTGGCATACAAGAAAGGTTACAGAATAAAATTACATTTGTATCTTGAGGTACCATTGAATAATACATTTTAAAATATTCATTTTCCTCCAATGTTTTCACTTATGATCAAGGTCTAAAGTTACTTATTGTGTTATCATCTGACACCTCCACCCACTTTTTAATCAAAGCTCCAAGCTTCTGAATGTGCATGTTGGCATCAACTCTCTTCAGTTCCAGGTCTTTTAGTGCCAAGGCCATTGAAAGCTCCAAGACCTTCAGCTGAAAATTTAATACGAGTTTAGTTTGGACATTTAACAATGACACTAATTAAGATCAATATTTTAAAATATTTTTTTTTATATTTAATTTAACAAAATAAAGATAATATAATTTAGATTAAATAAAAAGTATTTGAGGATATCAAATTAAAGAAAGATAAAATATTTGCACTAAAGGCAATGTTGAGAAGAAAAAAATGTTTGCCAGATCAATTTCTTACATGTGCAGCTTTTTTCTCTTTTTCAAAGATCAACTTGTTTTCTGCTCCTTCCTTCAGCCTAGAGTCAGCAGCTTCTAATTTTGCTTTAAGTGTCTGATTCTCCTGTCTGAGCATGTCTTTTTCTAACTTTACCCTATAACATTAAAAAAAAATTATGCTATTTTTCATGAGTGGATATAAAAAAAAATTAATTCGTTTTTAATGATTTTCTAAAAACAAATTTATTTTATCTCTAAACTTGTTATTCATCTACTTAATAGCTAGACTAGGTTATTAAAATAAAAGTGTACAATCTAATTTTCAGCAGTTGCAATAGCGGAGTTTAAATTAACAAAAAATGTTAAAAACTACTTACTGTCTGAGTGATTTTTGTGAGAATTCAACAGTTTCTATCAGCTTATCCTTTTCACTCTGGAGCCTAAGGATTAAAGCTGTCTTTTCTTGAATTTCCTTCATTGCTTCCTGTAAGACATAGGTTTAACATTTTATTGTTATATACTAATAGAATTATATACAGGACATATGAAAACCTTGACATTATGAATTGAATATGAAAATCAGAAACCAAGCCAGCTAAAACTCAGATCAATAAATTTCAATTATTATGATAGGACATTGATACTAGAGGCTTTTGGAGTACAATATTTCTATGGGTGGGTGGGAGACAATATTAAAGATGTGTGGGGGACAATATTAAAGATGGTTGGGGGACAATATTGAAGATGGTTGGGGGACAATATTAAAGATGGTTGGAGGACAATATTGAAGATGGTTGGGGGACAATATTAAAGATGGTTGGGGGACAATATTAAAGATGGTTGGAGGACAATATTGAAGATGGTTGGGGGACAATATTAAAGATGGTTGGAGGACAATATTGAAGATGGTTGGGGGACAATATTAAAGATGGTTGGGGGACAATATTAAAGATGGTTGGAGGACAATATTGAAGATGGTTGGGGGACAATATTAAAGATGGTTGGGGGACAATATTAAAGATGGTTGGAGGACAATATTGAAGATGGTTGGGGGACAATATTAAAGATGGTTGGGGGACAATATTAAAGATGGTTGGAGGACAATATTAAAGATGGTTGGAGGACAATATTGAAGATGGTTGGGGGACAATATTAAAGATGGATGAGGGACATTACTAAAGATGGTTGGGGGACAATATTAAAGATGGTTGGAGGACAATATTAAAGATGGTTGGGGAACAATATTAAAGATGGATGGGGGAAAATATTAAAGATGGCTGGGGGACAATATTAAAGATGATTGGGGGACAATATTAAAGATGGATGAGGGGAAAATAATATTTAAAATGGGTGGGGGACAATAATATTAGAGATGGGTGGGGGACAATCTTATTATAGATAGTTATGGCACAATCCTATTAGAGATATGTAGAGAACAATCCTATTAGACACTAGACATTAGTTCTCACCTTATACAAGCGGTTCTCATTTTTCTCCCTATGGTAGTTATCTAAAAACTTTCCCAGGACTTCCGAAGTTAAATCCGTCTGACTGCCTGCTGACAGCTGACTCAGCTCTGTCCAAGCTGTCTGAAACGAAGCATCTCTGGTCCCATACTCCGAAGAAGACTCTTCCAGCCTGGAGAGCGGGAAAAACGGTTCGTTGCACTGCGAATTTTTAAACAAGCTGCGTCTTTCTGGTCGGCTCGACCCGTTGTTGACGGAGAAGGGATTTTTTTTGCCGGGCGTGCGGGAGAAATTCCCGTTGGGTTCCAGTTTAAGCTGGTACTCTCCTGCAGGTAGGTTCATGTCTGACGCAGCTAAAGGTGAGTCTAGGGACGAGCGAAGGCCAGATAACATCCACCCCATGGCGCTAGTGTTTAGCGGTGCTAGAATTGAAGGCTGGAGCAGCGGGGAGTTTGTGACTGGAATGTCAGGCGGAGGAATCCAGGGGCCCTTACATGCCAGTACAGGTCTGTCCATTGGGTCTAGCGTGGAAGAAGAAAACGACTGACAGTTGGATGTTGGTGTGGAGGAGAGCGGGTCATTATCCAAGCAACCGGAATTTTCCGGTTCTGATGTGAAGTGAAAATCTGGAGCAGGTGGGTCAAAGAATGACCCGGGACTTAATTCAGGCCAGTCTGTTGGGTCACTTTTAGTCCATGTGATGCTCGGGGCAGTTTTCGTCTCAAGAAGTTTCAACACCCGAGATTCCTTTGGTGCTTTGGAGACTGTAGCAGCAGGCATGATGGTATCGCCAGATAAACTTGGCACTGATGAATCCAACGTGAATGACGGGAAGAAATTTTTATCAGGCCAGGCGTCAGGGGTCCTGATGTCAGTGACCCCCCAGATACTTGCTGGGAACTGTTCGGTGGAAAAAATATCCCTGTATCTCGATTTCACTGGCGTTTGGTCATCACTGATGTTAGTCACAGTTGGACTAAAATTTTGAGGCCTTTGGTACAGAGAAGAAGAAGAAGTTTCAGTTAAAAAGCCTGGAAAAGGGAGGTCACTCTCTTTGATTTCAGTCTTGAAAGGGTTATCTGCCCGTTCGACGCCTATCCAACCGGACGTTGTTTTAACAGGACTCTGCCTTGGTGCCTCACTCAAACTGTCTTTGTCCGACTGGGTGGACGTTATTGACTGGACGTCATCATCATCTGCAACATTGCTGCTGGCCACACTGCTTTCTGCTGATGGTGGGCGAACTTGCCCAAAGACTGACGGCACAGACCTAAGGTAATTAAAAAAAAAATTAGAAATCCAACATTTAAAGGTAGAAAAACATTTAAGAAAAAAAAAAGCAGTAAATTTTTTTAAGTTTAATTAGGTTTTTTTTTAAAGTTTAATTAGGACTAATAACCAAACAGCAAATTTTTATTTCATGTGCCGTACCTACAGTGATCAGTGCAAGTATTAAAACTGAGGTTCACTGGGTTAAGTGTTTACTCTCCCGACCATGTGTTACTGTTTGTCTTTGGTCTAATCTGTAACCACACTGTTGTGTGCTGACGAAGACCTTGGGTCGAAGCGTCCATAGTATTTATAACTGTTTTTAACTTGTGAGGTAACTAACACTATCTATTTTATTACTAATTGAATTAACCTCACTGAAGCTACCATTTGTACCATATCATCACTAACTTACTGTTAATAGACCTTAGAATGGCCTTTGAGAGATGAAGGTTTGAGAAGTTTTTTTATTGGGATTGGATTTGTTGGGTATATTTCCTACCACATGATCCCCACATTTAACACTGCAATCTTCTACAGACCCAATACTCACCTAGTTAAGTGACCATGGAGAGATTTCTTTTTGCCCCGGCTGGCCAGTTGAATTTTTGGAATTTTGAGGGGTTTTGGGAGCGGATGTGAATCCTTGGCAGAACGTAGGCCAGAGGAGGAGCTAGAGTTAATTGACAGGACAGGAGAGTCGGATTTTTGGAAATCTTCAGCGGAAAGATCTGATGTGTCTGAGTCTCTGCCAGATATATTTTTAGCTGGCCCCGGTTTGTCTGCCAGGTTGTAGAACTCACAGAAACTGAAGATAAAAAAATCTGGCCTTAGTTTGGGGACTCACAAAAACTGATGATAAAAATCTGGCCTTAGTTTTGGGACTTACAAAAACTGAAGATAAAAATCTGGCCTTAGTTTTGGGACTTACAAAAACTGAAGATAAAAAATCTGGCCTTAGTTTAGGGGACTCATAAAACTGAAGCCAACTAATTTGGCCTTTTGGACTTACAAAAACTGAAGCTTCAAAAATCTGGCAAGAGCTTTTGGACTTTAAAAAACTGAAGCTAAAAAATGTGGCCATAACTTAGAACTCAAAAACTGAAGCTAAAAAAAAATGGCCATGGTTTTAGGACTGAAGAAAAAAAAATATCCACAACCTTTGTTCCTTTGCATTTATGTAAATATGAGTTTAATTTACCTTTCTTATGCTTCTCTTCATGCATTAAAATTATGAGTCCTAGATTTTCCCACCCACATTAAACATGATATTAGGACTTTTTAGTAAACTGACAAGACACACTAGTTAACCTTAAACTATATGAAATATAGCACTCACCCCTCTGTGTTTTGCTCAAACTTTTCATCATCAACATGCAGTGGCGTGGACTTAAACAGCTGTCTAGCCACATCCACCTGACTGCCCGCAGACACCGGCGTCTCGCTAATGGCCAACCGCGTGTGGTTGCTCTTTTTTGACCTGACCATCGTAAACCCGTTATCCACATCCAATGAAGTGATGCCTGAATCACCGGACATGTTGTTGGTCATGTCCAGCGTGTTGATGTCGCTGTAGCTGCTTCTCAAGCTGCTTGACGGAGGGTAGAACTCTTTAGCCGCCGGGTTCAACGTCCGAGGCTGGGTAACTTTTATCTCAGTTTTTACCTCTGGTTTAGTTTCCGCAGCAGGTTTCTGTGAGTTTGCGGCTTCAAAAGCTCTTTTTCTCTCCTCCCACGAGAAAGGGTTTTTTGCTACAACAGCCACCTCTGTGGCGAGTAAACTGACTGTCTTGTTTTTTATAACAAAGTTTGAATTTGAGGCTAGGAATTGTGAGATGCCGCCGAAGGCTTCGATGCGACGGGTAGCCTCTGGGGGTAGGGATTGAACCATGTTGGTCATTGTCTCCCCCTCCAGTTCTATGCTGCCTTCAGATTTGACAAACTCAAGGAAGAATCTAGAAATGGAGATACATTTAAATCATTGATATCAAAACTTTTTTTAGTACTTTTTTTAATAAAATCATAATAATTAGAAATAAATTAGAATTAAATTGTTATTATCCAGTAAATAAAGTTATTCTTTCGGACCTGGTAATTCATAAGGCAGATGAGGTGGTTCACACGATTCTATGACCTCTGCAAGTAAATAATTTGTTAAGCACTTTGCTAGGCTGCCTTTTCTTTCCCTAACGTGAGTTTGATATGAGTGGACAGGAACTTGAGCCCAGGATTCAAACTCAAGACTAGAAAACTAGCAGTCGTGTGCTCTACAATTTAACCATGCCGTCCCACATTATCCTCAGTAGCCGTGAAAAAAGTTTTGCTACCTCTTCATCAACCAGAAGATGATCCAACTACTTTGATTATAGTGATGCCCCCCCCCCCCCCCAAAAAAAAGATTGTTACAAGCTGGAACTTACTGAAAGAGGTCTTCTGTACAGTTGTCTATGATCCAACTACTTTGATTATAGTGATGCCCCCCCCCCCCCCCCCCCCCCCCCCAAAAAAAAGATTGTTACAAGCTGGAACTTACTGAAAGAGGTCTTCTGTACAGTTGTCTATGATCCAACTACTTTGATCATAATGATGCCGCCCCCCCCCCCCCCCCCCAAAAAAAAAAAAACCCAAGATTGTTACAAGCTGGTACTTACTGAAAGAGATCTTCTGTACAGTTGTCTACAGCAGCTGGTGCTGGCAGTAGACCATCCCCCAGTGGCATGGGTCCAGTACCAGGAAGTGGCAGCAGGCCAGGGTTGATGTAAACAGTAGGGCTGGTCTGGACACTGTGGGAGTACACATACAGAACCATCAGGCGTGTTCTACCATCAGTATATACCATCGGGCGTACCATCTGGCTGGCTGTACCATCAGTATATACCAGCTGGCTAGTTGTACCATCAGTATATACCAGCTGGCTAGTTGTACCATCAGTATATACCAGCTGGCTATAGACTATCTTGCTAGTTGTACCATCAGTATATACCAGCTGGTTATATACAATCTGGCTATACAACATCAGGCTAGTTGTACAAGTATATACCACCTGGCTATTTGCATTGCACAAGTATATACCATTAAGCTATTTGTACAATAAAAAATATCATCACTATTCATTTAAGTATTTATCATAAGGCTAAATGTGACATATAAAGTTTGGTATATGTAGTGAGAGGGAGAGAAGTGCGTACAAAGTTTTTGTGTAAATGTGTGTCAAAAACTGAAATCTACTTGATTGAATTAAGTTTAAATGCACAGCTTTATAACACTTAAATAAACAGACTTGTACTTTAATCTGTATATGAAATGTGCACAACAATAACTGGGGTAACTTTCTATGCCCTACTTACTCATCAACTGAATATGCACTGTATCTCGTCTTTTCTTCATCCCCTTTAAACTGGAAGTCAACAGCCAAAATATTTTTCACCTTTTCTTTCTTCTTCTTAGGTTTGGAAGACTTGTGTTTACCCTGGGGTAGAAACGACAAAAAAAATTGATGCAATAATTTTAAAAACTCTAGCAGTACAACAACATTAGAGAGTGAATTGTGCCAGTAGTTGACAAAAAACAGTGTTCTGTAAGGCTCTAGAAAATTAGGCAACATCTTAACAAAACTAACCCCAGATTTTTCCTCTAGATCTTTCTTTAATACTGTCACTTGATGGTCTGCTACTCGCAATTGAACCTCTTCTGAAAAAAATGAAAACAAAATTTTTTAATTTTAAACAAGCAACATTAGCAAGAAACATTACTATTATTGACTAATTATCAACATTAAATGTTTGATAACAATTAATACTAATGCTAATTTCTTTGCAAGATTAATATTTAAACACAGTTTAAAAATTATAAGAAAATATTGAGACTTCCTTGATAGATTTATTTAAACTTTTTTTTAACAATATAAATATGAATCTTGTTCTGAATAAAGTCTATAGATTTTTAAAAGTTGTACTGTCTGAAATTTATAAGAACATTTTGACTTCCTTGTTATAAATTTCAGACGATAAAAGTTTAAAAAACCTATTGACTTTATACATTGGATAATCTAAGTAGTTTTTTAAGACAACTTATGATGCACCTAGATCAAATAAGTCTTTCTATCTGTATCAGAAATACAATTATTTCCAGTTTTATTCATATCAGACAAGCCCAGTTTATAATTATCAGATTTTTCTCGAGGGTTTAGGACATTTCCCCTCCCCCTCCATCAAGTGATTACTTCCCTTTAAAGTATGTATAATACCTATAATTATCTATCTCCATACCCAGACCAATATTCCTAGAACATATCCTTATACTATCCTTAACCTATCATTGGGATAATGTAAGCAGGGGTGGGGGTGGGGAATGACCAAAAAGTAATGTACTGTTCCCACCCTATATAAACCCAATATTATTCTACTGCACATATTTTTCTGCAGACAAGTGCAGACAAGTGGAGTGTGTAGCTGTATAGACTTGCCTTCAGGCACTGATGTGCAGCCATTGAGAAGCTTCTCCTCCTCCAACTTCTGCACCTCCTGCTGTTGTTGTGCCTGCAGCTTCACCTCCATCTTTCTTTCCTTCCGCAACCTTTTCTTCTCTGCTTTCTTCTGTAACTTCTCTGGACTAAGAACAAAACGAAAGCACAGTAAAAATATTTTTTGTGACTCCTCTGAAGCTAAAAAAACAAAATTCTTAAAAGTCTATCTTCTGTAACTTCTCTAGACTAAGAACAAAAACAAAAACACGTAAAAATATTTTTTGTGACTCCTCTGAAGCTAAAAAACATTCTTAAGTCTTTCTACTGTAACTTCCCAGCTCTAAGAGCAAAAGAAAAACACTTCTCTGAAATGACTCCTCTGAAGCTAAAAAAAAACCATTCTAAAAATGCTTTCTACTGAAACTTAATATCTGTTGTACAGAAAAAAAATGTAATAATATTTTCCTCTAACTTTCTAACAAAAATAAAAACTAACATTCTAAAAATACTTTCTTCAGCATTTTCACTATAGATTTTAAATTTTAAAAAAAATATTTTCTTCTGGAAACATTTAATCTTTTAAACTAAAGCAAATAAAATTCTAAAAATACTCTTTTTAGTATTTTCTCTGAAGTAGACTAGAAGTTAACATTTAAAAAGAATAAAGAAATATTTTCTTCTGGGTATACTTAATCTTAAACAAAAGAACTATTGAAATGTCTTCAAAAAGTATTGAAGTTTTTTGTTCACATCCCTACCCCAGGTAACCCTGCTAGACCCAACATCCCAAAAACTATATGAAACCATTTTGTCCTACTAGGGGCAATTAACAAAATCTATCAACATTTTTAAACATATTCCCGCCTGACTTACTTATCTGTTCTAGTCTTCACCATTGGTCTTGGTATGTGCATAGGTCGTTCATTCATGGATGATGACTGAAAAAGTCAAACAGGTATGGTTAGACAATATGAAGCCACATAATATGATAAACTTTTCAAAACAACATAGTAATAAAACAAAGTCTCCCAGAAAAAGTAGCCATGAGATGCCCTCTGAACATTTTTAAAATTGTGTCTGGTGATATGAAAATAAATGTGGTTGTAGGTGCCACTAAGTCAGGTTGTCTTTGCTAAATTTATGAAATATATTACACGGAAGATTTAAGTTTTTTTTAGTTAAAGGTGGAGTTTACAGGAATACAATCAACTACCTATGATTTAGCCAGTCAAAGTTTGTCCTATGAAAGTGAAACTTCAGGTCAAAATGTTGGATTGATTTAAATAAATAGTATTATATACATCTAGCCTTCAAGGCAAAAAAGAAAGTTTTTTAATATTTTTGTTCTCTATTTTTAATTTTTGTGTTCTCTACATTTGCAAACTTTATAACATTGGTTCTTAAAATATTAAATAACTTTTAACTTTAAAGCAAGATTTGTCATATAAAACATTATTCAATTTTATATTAATTATTTAAATATTTTAAAAATAAATCCCTATGATATATCATCTCTAAATTATAAGCATTTACTTTAATTATCATCAAAGTGAGTTATCTTTCTCGAGTTGTGAAGCTTAGGGTTTATTTATTTAATTAGAGTTACGTTTCCTTAATAGTGAGCAGTTATCGGTCCTGTATTTTTAGTAATACTATTTTTTGATCAATCAAAGACAATATCCTATAATAGTTTTATCAAAATGCTAAATCTATTTTTACTATTTATTTATCTGGTCCATGACACGGAAGCAAGTTTCAAATGTCAGCACAAATCGAAGAATCTGAATACAATGAAAGGTGAGCAGACGAAGACATTTCATGGTTTTGCCGTGACATTTTAGTCATACAATTAAATAATCTAACACCCAACAAGGCAAAGATTATTGACGATAGTTCACATAGTACAGCCCTCCTCTTCCTCCCCCTCCCCCTCCCGCCCCGCTCACAAAAAAGAATATAAAGTTTAAAGAATATATTATTGATTTATAGTAGAATCGTAAGTAGAAAGCGTAATGGCAAGCTATTTTTAGAAACAGGAAATAATGTTGCACAGCGGCAGGGAAACGGGAAATCCCGTAAACGGACAATACAATCGGTATTGTCTTTCAGTGTTTAATACATAGATCTATGCAGAGTCCACTAATTTATGAAAAACATGAAAATAAATGTAAGCAATTAGACTTTGATCTAAACCAAATGAAGGCACTTACAAACTTTAACAAAAATCCAGTGTACGCAAAATAGATGCACGCCGCGTTGATAAATGAAAAAGAAAACCTATGTCCAACTATGATATAAACATAAGTTACTTTTACGGGGAGGGGGGGCAGAGGCGTAGCTAGGGGAGGGCGGGGAGGGCGGCCGCCCCGGGCGCCGACCCTAAGGGGGCGCCAAAAGGGGTAGAAAAAAAATGTACAAGCTCATTTTAAGCTGCAGTTTTGAATTATAAACAGTCAAAGTAAAGAAATTTAACGACTGAGAGCCTTTGCATACTGATTTAACTGTTTTCTACCTTGATTAACTGTAAAAGGTATATCCTTAAGAAACAGTGACCGGAAAAACTGCTTTCCAGCTTTCCTAGATGGAGGGGGGGGGGCGCTTTTTCGAAGACTAAAATCGGAAAAAATAAGGAATAAATAACCCGTATCACTCATAAAAGAACCCATGGAACTAAAGCGTATTTACGATTGTGTAACATAAAAACAAGAGTTAGTGACGTTTAAAATCCGCTCTACCATTTTTGTCCAAGATGGTGGGGAGGGGGGGGGGGGCTTTTTCACCCACAAAAATCGCAGGATTTGTACTGGATCGGTTACTAGATAACTCTTTTAACACTTAGAAAAGAAATGTTTTTTCCTCTAGCTTGATTTATTATACAATCAACCATTCAACGAAATACCCATATCGTATTCCAATGTGAACAATAATTTGCTATTGTATGTCAATTGTATGACCTTAATCTAACAAACTTATAATCCAAATATATACTATATCATAAAAGAGACTGTTCCAAAGATAAAACATAAACAGACTGTCCTAAACGAATTAGCATCGTTACAATATTTTTTTTTCCTGACATTATTAATCTTTATCTTTAAAGGATAATGCATCTTAAGGGGAATTTAATTGGCGTTGAGTTAAGTTTTATGGAACGACAATCGTACAGCGTAATTATTTTTTTTTCAAGACTGTCGCACACACATACACACACACACACACACACACACACACACACACACACACACACACACATATATATATATATATATATATATATATATATATATATATATATATATATATATATATATATATATATGGCGGGGCGCCAAACTGAATGTTCGCCCCGGGCGCCGGGAGGGGTCGCTACGCCTCTGAGGGGGGGGGGGTGTAGAAATAGGGTATCCAGGCATTGGGTGAGGTGAGGCTGAGCAAGGAAAATCTGGTTTCTTACAATTAATGGATACGCAAAAATATGCAGGTGGGGGGGGGGGGTCTATTCAGTGCAGGATAAGACTAGGAAGACTAGGGTAGCTAATTATGTATTTGATTAGACAACTAGCTGCTAGATCTATAATATGAAAAACTCCTAGAACGTGAAGAGAAAGTAGTGTTCGTGTGGGAAGCTGGTAGTGCAATAAAGTTTTCGAGTTGTTTACATTTCAGCAGGTATCGATGTTAAGAATGGGTTTACGATAAGGTTAAGGTTAGGGTGGAGATACTAGCAAAAGACCCAGCTTCGACGATAATTCATACGAGATGTTTTTATTTTAAATAAGTAAACATGTTTCCATACTAAGATCTAACTAAAAAGATCGCCATATTAAGAAAGTTTTTTTTTTAATTAGAAAAAAAAATTAAAAATGAAAATAAAAGACTATGTAGACGTGAAGACTTACTCGCAACAAAGCTAATGTGGCCAGTTCTGGCTCGGTCTTACACTCGGCCACCTGCTCAGGCGACATGGTGTAGAAGCGGCCATCCCGCTGGATGAAGTACATGGCCGGCCCACCTGCGGCTTGTAGCTCACTCAGCGTGTGCGACAAATGGGCGAACGTTTTCACGTGCTCAACTTTACCATCCAAGAAAAACTTAGCCTCATCAAATCCCTGCTGGTGAACTCACAGATACGTGTTGATTTTCTCTCTAATCGGTGGAGGGGATTTGTGCCTTATATGCCAGAAAACGGTGCGCGGTGATTGGTTCATTCAGTGCAGCTGCGAGTTGATTGGCTCGTTCAAGCTATTTTTAGATCGCGCCCCGCGAATAGTATTGGGAGAAAAGCGGGTGGGAGTTTTAGAATAAAGCAACGACCAATCAATGCCGAGAGGGCGGAGTCTATTAGGGGGGGGGGGGGGGGGGGGTTGAACGCGGGTTGAAGAAACTTTTAATGTAAGTTATATATATATTATTATATGTAACTTGTTACAAAATACCAGAAGTATTTAATTTTTATTATTTATACCTAAATTGGAAGTAACTTTTTCGCTCGCGATTTCATTTCAAGGTACAATGTTTTAAAATAGACGAATGAAGTAAAAATGAAGACAGAGTAAATAAATAACTTTTTAAAACCATTTTGGAAAATATATCAATCCTGACCAAAAAAAAAGCGTATACAATTAAATGCCAAAACAAATAAGCGGTAAAATCTTTAGGCTAAAACATTTATCGTATCACAAAAATTGATAATCAGGCCCTATTTACTATTTTAAAAAAAAAAAAGCAACATTGCATAGGGTAGGTTTTAGATTATCCCACAAGAATCGTAGCTAAAAAAATTGCACCTTAGGATTTCTAATGGATCAGGTGGCCTTAATTAACCCTTTGCTAAGACAAAACTAGACTACATTCAACAAATTCTGATTTAATTTCAGTACTTGCCCCATCATTAAGCTACTATGCTATTGTCTCCGTGTGCACAGTATTGTCCTCGTGTGTAAATCAATACCGCCTATTATACTCTACACAGCTTCCGATGGCTAGACAAATGTCGCTTAATATACGTGTGCACTATTTGTCTATATGGCACATGAATACTATGAATGTTATGTAAGCATCACACTATTATATGTGTACGATTGTCCCATGTTATGTAAATAATGCCACTTTTCTGTGTGTATAATAATGCCATAATGTATATTGATATGACCCACCTTATTTGTACAAAAATGCCATGTTATGTTAATATCGCCATTATTATATGCGTACAATGATCGACTATTAGTCCAAAGGTCTCCAGTTCGGGTTTGGTCCGGACTAGTAAGACGTCCATGAGTCCATCCCACCCGGCTTAGATGGGCTCCTGAGTCAAGTTGGGGAATCTAAGGGCGGCTGTGCTTAGGGCCTACCCCATTATCACTTCAAATGCCGAGGTCAAGAAACATATGAACCCATCTGCCCTATGGGTCTTTAGGTGTGAAGGGGGAGCTTTACTTTATTTTTTTAAACGTACAACACTGCTGTATTACCCTTCATATGTGTGTACAATACTGCCAGTGTTATGTTATTATCATAGGCGTAGCGACCCATTCCAGCGCCCGGAGCGAACTATACATTTCACCACACCCCCCCCACCCCATGTATATAAGGCGCTCTTTACTAGTAAGTCTTGTTGTAGTATTTATTTTGGTGTAGATAAGTTAAATCCGCCTTTAAAGCAATGTAGCAGTCAATTTTTCTAACTTTGAATGTGTATAATTCAGTACTGGAGCTCCTAATGAGCTTTTTATTTATTTTTCTCCACCATTTGCACCCCCTAGGGTCGGCGACAAAGCGGCCGCCCCACTCGCCCTTCAACAATAGATACGCCTCTGATTAGTATCACCCCATATATATGTCCGTGCCACGTACTTAAATATATGCCAAAGATATCTACAACTGTGTATAGATCGCCTTTTTAGTTGGATTTCTGTTGATTCTGTGCGGGTTTTATTAG